CTACTAAAAGAATGGCTGACCGGGAAACATATTGGTCATCACCAATGGTTGTGTGAATGGCTACATGTGATACCGCGTACCTGCTCCAGTTCGGAAGGAAAGTGCAGAAATGATGGAGATCCCAGAACCAAATTAATCTAAAAATGTATCGTCGGGTAACCAGCTCAAAAGTAAAACAGGGATAGAGAAGGTTTTTTTTAAAAAGCCTTGAAATCTAGTCACAAGGAAGTACGAAATATGTGTTACGTATCACGGTGAAAATGAAATCACCTCACTAGACAGTGAATAAACAGAATTTCTGATAAAACGTTAACAAGCGCATAAACCTTTACACTGGAAATACAATTGTCCATTTAACTGCGGCCATCACATCAGATTCAGGTTGTATAATAGCTGAATCAATTACTAGAAAATGGTGGGGTGTTGACCTAGAAATCGCTACAATGTGAATTCACTAGAAAAATAATCCCCAAACAGTACATGTCTGACTCCCGTATATTAATAACTGATGCATTTTATTACTTGTCCGACTACAAACAATTTAAGAGATAAAAGGTTCAATTAAGGTAATGACAAATACCTTAGCCACTATAAATCAGTACCGATAATCCGAATATGGTTCGACAACTGTCGCAGACTACAGCCTGGCTGAACAGTATGTCTGAATTAGAATCTACTTTTAAATGATTCATTTTTTGAACCCACCAGGGAGTAAGATATCTTGATATTTATTGCTAAAGCTACGAAGATAACATCAAAGTTTCAGAAATACTACTCTTTCTTTAACCGTGGGGTCAGTTCAGGCAGATAAAATTCTGCATCAAGATCAGCAAACAACTTTTGACTGCTAAGCCGCAAAAAGCACTGTTGGGTAGAATACAAACGAACTGACAACGACGGAGCGTACAGGCAATACAATCATATAAGGAACATATGCACGAAAACTATAAGAGAAGAGTGGTCCGACCAATAATGACAGCGACGCCGCTAACCTTTTGGCTGAACGATATTTCCTACTCTTCGGTATCCACCCCTTCATACCTTATGATATCATCCCACAATCTACGCAATAAGGAGAATATTCTAGCGATTCCAAGAACCCACACAAACTTACGTCAGAATTTTTTCCTTATTCGCTACTCAACCATGTGGAACAGACTTCCAGTGAACCTCCATTGTCACCTATTGAATATCAGTGTATTCAATAATGATTTACACAAACAAGGTCCGTCATCTATTTAATTGCTTGAAAAGCAAAATGAAACCTTTAAATCTTTTCACGTCTATTTTATTTTATTTCTATTTATCTTAATATATGAAATCTGCTTATGTTCGTTTTTATCATTAATACCGTTATTATTATCATTATTAGTTCCCCGACACATTAGATATTCTATTTATCTCTTCTTATCCTTCTTAACATATTTAACTTCAGATTGTCCTTTGAAATCAATTTTGACTTTCATAGTATCAATCTTAATTATTATTACACAAATATTTATACTAATATCCGGTTTCACTATGTATACTACTACATAAAACTAAATGTATTCATCTGAGTGCTTTAAAGGATTTTAATTTTAATTTTTTTTTTATTTTTTCAATTGCTGGCTTCCTTCCGAGGTTGATATTCATTACACAATTGTTATTCCTATCATGGATCAAAACTTTTCACTAAGTGTTCATTTCTTTTCTTTCTCTTCTTTCCCTCTAAATAAATGTTATTCTTAAAATTTAGAAGTTTGTAATGAAAACAATAACTTGTGTTACACTTAAATTAAATTTTTAGACCCGTTTTATCTTCATTATGCATATATGGCTCGTACATAGTGATATTTTATGATCCTTTTCACTTAATTGTGACTTTCATAGCATCACTCTAAACTATAACTGCACAAACATTTATTGTAGCGTCATATCTTGCTGCAATGATAAGTTATTTTTTCTTAATTATTTTTTGTTACTGATTTAACGATACACACATAGTTGTTTATTCTTGTTCTGTTTTCATAAACACGCCTATTACGCAGTTTGCGTCTCTTTTATTTCTATTCCCTTATTTTCTCCATTTCCTTCTTTAAACTCAATTCAATATTCTTTTCAATTACAAAGACCCGATTTATTATTATTAATATTCTATTATTATTATTCTAAATTTTTTATTTATTTTAAATATGGCAAGTATAATGCTAACATTATTGAAAATTGTATTATTGCATTTTTTGAAGAAACCCGAAATGGTTTCTTCACAACACTTATGTACCCATAAGATGTTTGTGAATAATAATAATATTAACACTCTCGGACATTTCAACCGACCCATATCAGCTATACTGATAACAGCTTCATCTGCAACTGCAAAGGACTTTCTGTAGTCAAGCTGACCGCTAACTTGGTGTTCCGGAGTCTGCAGCACCTAAGAAAAGACACTTCTCCTGGCCCAGACGTGGTTCGTTCTGCTATACTAAGGGAAGCAGCTTCAATCATGATAACACCGCTTAGCATGATGTTCTCACACTGTCTAAGCCGAGGCAAACTACCGGAAAACTGGAGGCTGGCTCACATCACACCAATTTTCAAAGAAGCTCGACACAGTGAAACTTCAAGTTACCGACTGGTGGATATTCTCTATATTTCCTCAAAAATCATGGAGTCTCTGATATGTGGTGGTACACATGACATTATACTGTCCTTGAATTTCTTCTCACCCCAACAGCATGGTTTCAGGAAGGGTTACTCTTATATTACCAACCTGCTGACTGCGGTGGACAGATGGACAAGCATCCTTGATCACAAGGGGAAGGTTGATATCAGCTACCTAGATTTCTCAAAAGATTTTGATAAGGTTAAACATACATGTCTTATCAATAAGCTCAGACGATTGGGTATCAGACCACCTCTAATCGATTGGCTCACTCCATACCTGAAAAATCAACATTTGAAGGTCAGGGTCAACTTTACTTTATCTCAGGCTGTGGAATGTCCTAGTGGGGTCCCCCAGGGTTCAGTACTAGGACCTCTTCTCTTCTTGATCTACATAAATAATCTTCCTCGACAGGTAACGTCAGACTTATTACTTTTTGCCGACGACGTGAAACTTTGGAGAGAGATACGCAACCAAGACGATGTACAGGCACTCCAGGAGTATCTGACTCGACTTCAAAGTGGGGCAGACGATAACGGACTTACATTTAACACTTCAAAGTGTAAAGTAGTCCATCTGCGACATGCCGCAGACTACAGTTATAACTTAGGAAACTTCTCTCTAGTAGTATCCTAAGTCGAAAAAGATTTAGGAGCCCTGGTGCCCTACGATTTAAAGTCCTATGCAAACCATGCACTTGTAACATTGAAGCGCATTTTTGGCCAGTTTTACGGAAGAACTTTCCATAAAATCTTCAATAGTTTTATTCGTCCCCATTTAGAGTGTGGAAAAATAGTATCTCCTCCATCACTACAAAACGATAGGGACACTCCGGAGAGTATCCAACAGCGAGCCACGAAATCAGCTCGAGGACTCAAATTCAAACCTTAGTTAGAGCACCTCTAATCACTAAACCTTTATCCATTAGAATATAGGCGTCTCAGAAGTGACGTTCTAGTGGCTTACAGTATCCTTAACAGTTCTCGACATCCCCTTTAACACCTACTCAAGCTTAGTCCCAATACAAACTTAAGGGGTAACACCCAGAAATTGGAGATACGATATTAGCAGAACGGACTGTAGACACAACTTCTACTCCTTAAGATTTGTCAAATGCTGGAATTCGCTGCCGACTGAAGTAGTCCAAGCGACTTCCCAGGAGTCCTCTAAGAGAAGATTTGACCTATTTTTAAGGACTAAGGATAACATCTTATTGTGATTTGCCAATTTTTTCCCTCTATTATTGTTAATATACCTCATTTCCTGCCTGGAGGTATTGGTGACCCACTGCTGCAAGACACTAAAGCCTGTTAAGCGAAAGCTTCTTCTATTTCGTCCACAACCATTTGAACCATTTGAAATATATCTATAAATTGCTACCATCTGTGGTGGATCACAGTAAAAATGCTTATTCAAAATATAGCAATACGTAAGGTTACCAATAATATATCAAATGAGTTAACACCAAAACCTAGGTGTCCGTCTATGAGCAAAGAAAAAGTTAACAAATTACAGATACAATATAAATGATATATTAAACAACAAGATAATAACAGTTGCTATGAAGTGAATGTTACTTGTAAGCTACTTTCTGAGATGACAACCACAAATGAGTTCACTTGATCAAAGAAGATTCCTCTGCACGTGTTGGCAGCAACGTCGTAATGAGAAAGATTGAATCCAATAGTATTATTTAATAATCATCCGGGTCAAAATTTCAACGCAGTATGGGAAGGCCTAAAAGGATGTTATAACACTATTACAATCTTCAATCAAAGGCCGTGGCCAATAAAGCAGAAGAACGGACGGCAAAATATAGTATTTATATGTCAACCAACGCGGTAGAATATTGGTTTATGTATATCCAAACAATTATAATCGTTTTTTTGCAGTTGTTTCAGAAAAACAATAGATACTGAATAAAAATGTGGTTACACATAAGGCTTGACAAATAATAGAAAAAATGTGATTCTTTTGTTGTTACAAACGTTACTAAATATTCATGTCACCATACATTCCATTGTCACTCATGATATCTGAGTACGATGATTGATCCCATTAGTTTTTTGCATATCTCACTATGCCTTTTTAACGCCCGATGTTGTATCCTAAATCTCTAGAGAATATCGTCAACTCATAGATTATAGGTTTCCTATAATATCCAGATGAAATCAAGAGTAGATTAAAGGTATTAATTTAGTCTTCAACGGTGTAGGAAAGTTATTCGAAGCTGTTGGATACCTTACTTAGAACTCTGATAGTTTGTTAAACGTCTTTCGCAAGTTTTCAACAGCCAAAAGTTTCTTCATTGTTTTGTTTAAACGTTTCACACTGATTTCATTGCCTGTTGTTATGACGCCAGATAGCGTGCTCGGCCAAAATTGAGGCCAGTACATGTTTGAAAAACGTTAGTTGCTGTTGATACATCTTTGCTATGATAACTATTGATAAAAATAACTCCCTTTGATAAGGTACATGTGCTTTGATTCATTTTGATCAATACTGAATGCATTATCCGTATGTTCAAAACTTTTATGAATAATTTAACGTAACTTTAGAACTGACTAAGTTTGCTCATTATGGCTATTATTTAATGCAAAAGAACATTAAGCAGTGTTAAGTTTTTTGGCACTGAATTTTTTGTATATTATTTTATTCTGTCGTAAATGTAGAATTATATTACATTCGTTGCTAGCTCGTCACAGCCAGTTGATTCTACCATGCTCGAATTTTTTCATAGGACAAAACATTATGGTGATTTAGATGATTTTTAGTCGTCCGGCTTTCATAATTCGTTTGAATTGGATATAGAAATGGAAGTTTCCATTATCTAGGTGATATCGTTTTCATGGTTTGATCAGTGGAACGTTTGTTGGAGATTTTATTTTTCACTCCAAAATAACTTTTTAAACAAAAAAATAGGTTGAGAGTTAAGTGGATTGGCTAAAGACCAAGTGTTTCACGATTGTGTATTAAGCTGAGGCTGCAAAATTCGTGATGGAATTGGTTATTTTCTGGACTACTATCTAATGACTTCACAGTAATGCAGTATGAATAGTTTATTTCTGACTTCAATTTAATTTTTTGTAAATATTTATACACGGTTCAAGTTTTTAATTAAAATTTTTTATTATTGTACGTTTTTGAGTCTTATAAAGGTTTCTATGATATTCGAAAATATTCAAACTGATGCTCTAGTTAGGAGCTTCTACGAATTTTCGATCTTGTTTAGACAGAGCTGGGGGAGTACAGCTAAATTTCAGGTAACTAGAATTCTAGACAAGCGCGGAACAATGTACAAAGGGATAGCCTTTACACACAAATATTACAGGTTTGCGTTTATTTTTTACCAGAATCGACGTCACAACATTGTGGGCTTTGATGTAACACTGCGTGTTTAACCTGAATATGTTTCTTTTGAGTTCTTACATGTGCCACCAGACACAGAGTGAACGAATTTGAAGGAAAAAATTTAAAAAATTATAAAACAAATATTGTACGTTTTACTAAAAACTTGGAGCATCCTATATAATCACGTGACATCAAAATATTTTTCCTATTGATTAATCTGGTAAAGATAACAGGGTTTTTTGTTAAAATAAACGGTCAATAAGACTTTAAATCAACATCTAAATTAGAAAAGTCGTCTGTTCTGGTATGAAAGTGGGATCATTAAGAGTATTTGAATTATAGTACAAATTAAGAATCCCAGAAATAACGCAATTGGATCAAGAAGTACTAGTTCAGCACGAACGAATGTACTGTATTTGGAATTCGAAATTAAGCATTCAACAAGTACAAAAGAGTCGTTAGTTTATACTAACGCCACGGAAAGTCGACTAAAATTGTTAAATAGCTTATGCTAAGTTTTTTCAGTAAAGTTGAATAGTTAGCTGTTCTCCCAGTTTCAATTTCTTTTGTCTACCCGAATGTAAACTATAAGTCATTTACAGGGTGTTGTACGAGATTAATAAGCCACACTAACTTGCTCAGTTATGATTACACGTACTGTTAGAATCATTTGTTTTTCAGTTAAACCTATAACTTATATGTCCAGAAATAAAAAAGTCTCCGAAACACTTCATCACCATGACCATTCTGATCTAAATTTAATTTGGACGGGCCAACCAATTAGTAAAGATGTTAACTCTCTGCATATGGGATTCAGTCAATAGTTAACAAACATGAAAGGTCAAGTTTTTGAGTCTCAAGAATGCATTATCGTATGATATACTGGAATACAAAAGTATGGGCCATTTAAACACAAAGCGTAATATTAAATAAGTAGCAAAATAGAATAATTTTTCACAATACAAGTTTACGAAATATAAAAAACTAGGCATAAAATGGTTTTGCATTCCCTGGTGTCTCAAAGAATAGATCCAAAAACATTTCTAAAGCAGCGCTGGTTCCTGAGATAGTTATTTTGTTAAGAATCAACTTAAATACAAAATGTACTGTATGGCAACGAAAGACAGTTTGCTGTCGTTTAGTAAGTTAATGAGCTGAAATGATGTTTACTCTGACTTTATCTTGCATTTATTTTCCATCTCTAGGCTAAATAACCCACTGATCCCATAAAAACCCATACTTCATGTTATTTACATCCTCGGGAGTATTATGAAACAATGATTATTTTTGTGTTGGTATACATTCCTCATGCTTTATGAAACTAGCTTTGGAATTGCAGTAAAAAATGTTTAATATAAGTTTACCTAAAAAGCTAGACCAACACAACATTCTTAACATTCTCCTACTTGTTTTTGAGTGTATTATGAAATCTAGATCCCCATTGAATGTAAAAGAGCCAAAGTAGTAGAGATGACTCCAAAATAGTATTTATGTTATTTGAGTAAATTTAATCTTTTTGATATAAAATGAATAAGTTGGGTTGAGCGCATAAAATATATTGCCCCACGATACTTATTAAAGTTTTTATACTGTTAGTTTTAATACGAACAACATGTGACTGAGCATCCTTTTTATTATCAGAGTATTTCTTGTTTTCTCTATAATAAATTTAAAATGACTTTATTAAAGTAAAAAATTAACGTTTAGACGAAGAGATTAAAAATATCTTTTCAATATGAATTTGATTGCTTTCAAGATTCAAAGGACTTTAATAAATTGTCAGATTGATCGTGTTCCCTAGACATAAGATGATTTTTATACTTAGTAAATAAAACATTAGACGATCCATGCAAGAATTAATTAGATTTCTTGATAATCCAAATTTTAATTATTTAACTTTCACGGAATTAACTCAGCTATTTGCTTGATATTCGTTTATTGGGTCCTCAGTTACCTGCGCAATTTTGTTGTTTTACGTATGTTAAGACAGATGTTGTCACTGACTGGTGTTAGCTGGGGACTCATTGAAAAACAGAACATGCTGAACATATGTTTTTGGAATTTTATTTATATAAATAACGTGCGTCAAACTGTTAACTGATTTATAGGGCGAAACATACAGTGTAAATGAAAACTCAAGAAGGATTCTAGGCAAAATTGAAGCATTCTAACAAATAGCACACTTGTTAACAAAAGTTGACGGAGATAAGCTTGCACAATTACTAACAATCAACCACATTCTTTAAGCGTAATCTATACGGATCAAACTCAAGATGAGAGGTGTGTGTAAATAATTTTGTGGATGGAGAACTGTGGACAAGCTATCATGGAAGCACAGAGGCAAATATGAAAACCCTTAAGTGAAAAGGAAGAAATTCCCAGTTTCTACCTCACTCCTAGATCCATTAATAACGAAAACTTTGATGTACGATGCATAGATTTAGGCTAAAGTCCCTTTTAACAACCAGGGAAGCGATTTTTATAGGTACATGGCATGTTTGAGCAATATGGAAGACCGAGAGGAACAGTCGAATAGCTACGAAATGAGGAGATACAATTTGACCGTGTTCTGAATCAGTGAAACCCATCGGACCCAAGTTGGACAAAAAAGGATGGATTCAAAACAGATGTTGCAATACCCTGGTCACGTGGAAGAAAATGCTCCATATACTAAGGGAGTTACTCTGGTGCTGTCAAAGAAGCACGTAATGTATTTGTAGGATGGGAATCTCATGGATGCAGGGTCACCAAAGCATCTTTTAAAACAACGAAGGAGGGAATTAAAATGAATGATAGCAATAATAGCAATGACGACGATAATGATCAGTCCTATGGGAGGCTGCAGTCGATCGTAGCGAAGTGCGCAGGAAAGAGACTGACAATCATGATGAGAGATATAAACGCCGAAGTTGGAATGGACAACACCGGGCATAAAGATATTATGGGACGACATAGATTGACTAGAAAAAAGAAACGGGAATGGTGAGAGATTTGCAAATCCATATGCATTCAACAAAATCATAAGCGAAGCTACATGAGTCTCATCGGACCACAACACAGGAACCCAGATAGACTATATTTGCATCACTCAAAAATTCAGAAGGACAATGGAAAATGTGAGAACCAGGAGAGGAGCTGGCATAGCTTCAGGTCACGATCTATATGTTGGTTGCCAAGATAAAACTGAAGAAGCATTGGAAAAATTGGACGAACAACATCACAAATGTTCAATATAGTCTTCCTTCGACATACTGAAAGACTTGACCAACTCAAGACAACAGGTTCAAAGCCTCACAAAATTTATTGCACACTAAGAGGAAACTGCTATGGAGAACTACTGGAAATGGATCAAAGAAGTATTAACTACAACATGTCAGGAGGTTAAGGGCCGCATGAAGCACACTCATAAGTAATGGATCAAAACCCTGGATTCAAGAAAGGAAGAATAAGAAGACAACAATTAACAACAGCCGAACAATGACAGAGAAAGCAAGACAAAAGGCGAATACACAGAAGCAAACAAACAAGTCAAAAAGAACATTAGAGCTGATAAACGGAAATACACAGAGGATCTAGCAACAACAGTGGAAAAATCTACAAGAGAAGGGAGTATGAAACGGCTATACGACACAACGAAGAAACTGGTAAGGAAATATAATAAGCCAGAGAGACCGGTCAAGGAAATAGAAATCAAACCAATCATCAAGATTCAAGAGCAAAAAAAGAGACGAGTGGAATACTTTGAGGAACCCTTGAACAGGCTAGCTCTATTGAATCCACTGGACATCAAAGCAGCACCTACAAACCGTCCTACAGATGTTGCTTAACTAACGATCGAAGAAATCAGGATGGCCATTAGACAAATCAAGAATGGGGAAGAAGTAGGGCCTGACATTATACCAGCTGATGCATTAAAGTCAGACATAGAAGTAACCGCAAAGATGTTCCACACTCTATCCGGGATGATTCGAGAGGAAGTACAAGTGACGACGGACTAAAAAGGACGACAGCTCATTAAGATGACGAGGAAATGAGATCTGAGAAAATGTGAAAACTACAGAGGAATAACACTACTATAGGTACTAAATAAGGTTTTAAACAGAGTTTTATTGAACAAGATGAGAGATTCAATGGATGCCCAACTTTGAGATCAGAAGTCTTGATTCCGTAAGTATCGATCGCGAACAGATTGAATTGTTATACTACGGATCGTTGTCCAACAATCAAAATCATACGAAATTCACACAATGGACCATACTACAAAGTGGTGCATGGAGGACAGCTAACAGATGCATTCTAAATAAGAACCTAAGTTAGAAAAGTTCACTTACTATCTCCCTTTCCCTTTCTACTGTTAGTTGACTGGATTATGAAGACCTCTATATCTGACGAGAAGCACGGTATACAATGAACAACTCGAAGTTAACTAGACCATTCGAACTTCACAGATGATCTAGCCATCCTATCCCATACATACCAACAAATGCAGATGAAGACAACCAGTGTAGCAAAAGCCTCTGCATCAATGAGTCTCATGTTGGGTTATCCAGAAATCGCTTGCAAAAGACAAGCAAGCATCAAGAAACACTAAGAAGTGTTTCGTCCAATCAGCTTTCACTTGGAATCTTGGCCAGAAATATCAAGGTAGCGAAGTATCACATGCGGAAGCTCTGATTGGTTGGCTACTACAGTGCTACTATGTTTAGTAGCATTCCAGAATATTCCAGCGACCCAAGGACACTTAAAATCTTATAAAAGCCCTATATTTTCTGTGATAGAATGAACCTTGGAGTAAGGTATTTTCCCTCATACTTGCGTCTTCTCTCTGGTGTTCAAGTCGCTATGTGGTTCTAACTTGCGGGTTACCAGAATAGCTTAGGAAACTAATATAGCGTCCAATCGATAAGACTTATCATCTCAACATAAACAATAGAAAAACCAAGATCATCAAATACAACATGGAGAACACCAACTCAACCATATTTGATATAGAAACTCTGGAGTAGGTGGAAAATTTCACATACCTGACTGGACAGCACCATCTATGAAGGAGGAGGATATGAAGCAAACGTGAATCCAGGGATTAGTAAATCCAGTACAGCATTCCCACAGTTGAGCAACATATGCAACTCAAAACAACTCTCAACCAATATCAAAGTCGGAATCTTCAATACGAACGTCAACACAGTTCTACCATATGGAGCTGAAAATTGGAGAACCACTTCAACCATCATCAAGAAGTTACAGGTATTTCTAAACAATTGTTTACGCAAGATACTGAATGTCCGTTGACCGGATACCATCAACAACGACAACCTAGTATGGGAGAGAACAAACCAGCTTCGAGTTGATGGGTAGGTATATTAGGAAAATACGTTGTGATTGGATAGGACATACATTGTGGTAATCATCAAACCACATGATGAGGCAAGAGCTAATTTGGAATCGTTAAGGGGAACAGAAAAAGAAGAAAACCAAATGACACACTGTGTCGAGAATTGGAAGCGGATATTGAAAGGATGAGTAGCAACTGGAAAGAACCGGAAAGGATTAACCAGGACACGGTTGGATGGACAATGCTAGTGGACGGCCTATGCTTTTCCACGAGGGCTGATAGGTGTAAGTAAGTAGTGATTAATAAAATGAAATACGCCTAAACAACACTTTTTAATAACGCTACACAGAGCAAAAAGCACCAATTAGCAGAGTTTGATTAGTATGATACGTTTTATATGTGTTCAAACACGTGCATACATAAGATTTTTTACTGGTGAATACAATGAAACATGAAGTACACTGAAATCACTAGCCAAACTAGATTAGACCATCATTGAAAATCTGGTAGCACTAGCCGTTTGGCCCTGGTATGGAATTCCTCAGTAGTGTTAATCCACAATCCCGAAAATTGGAGTTGAACCAAGAATCTTCTATCTTACACTCAAACACTTAACTTCTAGACCACTAAGCCGGCATACAACGGTGTTAGTATCTAAACCCAATCAGTTCATGATTTTGCTTGCTTGAATGAGGATCCTGAGTTCGTTCGTGGATAAGCACTGCTGAGGAGTTTCATACTAGGGTAAAATGGCCGTTCATTGCTACTAAGTTTCCAATGGTGGTCTAACCTAGATCAGTTCATTATTTCAATGAAATTCAACAATCCCCACAATCTCATATTGTTTATTTAAAATTGTTTTGTAACTTTATTTTCTATCTTGTCTAGTTCAATATTAATTTGTTATGTAAAAAAATATCTTCACAAATCAACGCATGTTGTGCTAATACTCATTACATGATTCTTATGAAAATTATCTTCTTATCGGGTTATTTAAAATTATTAAAAGAATCGACTAATTTTAATCATTTATATTTGTGATACAATTTGGGTTTTGATTATTACACAAAACAGGCACGAACTAAATTACTGAGGAAAATGTTTCTTCTCTGAGAAAATATTCAATCTTTGAAGTTTTTGGCTAATATGATTTTTACCAGAAGGGGTTTTGTGGAGATTTTAGTAATTTAATAGTTGAATTCATGAATCAATTGAAGCTAAACCACCATGGAAAACGTGGAAGCACTGGGAGGCTGTTTCGTAATTGAGCGATAGGTCCTGGGTTTGAATCTCGTGGGGCGGGATCGTAGATGCGCACTGCTGAGGAGTCCCATACTAGGACGAAACGGCCATACAGTGCTGCCAGGTTTTCCATAGTGGTTTAGCTTCAATTGACTCATGAATTCAGCTATTAGTTTAATATGGCTTTAATTATTATCAATATCAAGAAACATATTTACATTAAATCAACTTTGATTAATTAACATTTAGAATTTGATTATTGAAATGGATCGTTATGAAAAATTAACAAGAATAGGAGAAGGTGCATATGGTGTTGTATTTAAATGTCGTCATCGTGATACTGGAGATATAGTTGCTATTAAAAAATTTACCGACTCTGAAGAAGATCCAGTAATACATAGAATTGCAATGCGAGAAATTCGTACATTGAAAGTAAGTTACGAAATTTCTCATTTACATTGGAGGGGAATATTGTATGATTGTGAACTGTGGGATCGATTACTTTAATTGATGTAATTTATTACTTTAGCACGTTTGTAGTTTACATCACTGACTGAATTTATTTAAACAATAATTGTTGTTTAATTAAGATGTAATGTAAACTATGATGTGATTTGGTGTGGTTGATTGAAAACTACACATGTAAACCAACTTATTGACTTGAAGCAGTTCTCAATAAATGAATATTCTGAGACAGACTGACCGATCAATAAACCGATTCATTTTATAGCGAAGAAATTACACATTGATTTATCAAATGTTTAACACAGTAGTAAACATGGTTAAAATTCATTTAAACGTCAAATGGTTGTAAAACGTCTATGTTTCAGGTCTTTATTAAATAATGACACTAGAACATGACTATCAATGTTAACAAATCACTTTTATTTGTGCTGTTCTATTTTATGTCTGTGGGAAGTGACCTTCAATAATAAGAGATATGTGTAGGTTAGTGATATTTGATTATGAATGACTTTAAAGCATTGTTAATGAATGTTGGGACCACTGATTGAGCTGTGCTGAAGTAAGACTCAGAGTACTGGGTAAAATCTAATAAATCAGCCGATAAGTTAGAGATTCTTCATTTGCTGAAGTTGTTAGAACATGTACTTCTCGCTTTTAACTACTTCCTACTTCAACTCATGATGTTAGCTGGTGTATGAGTAGATTGAAAGAAAGGTAGAGATTGACAGATCAATATGTGGCATCAGTATATGAAGTCACTAACTGTTGAACTAAGTCATGCTAAGGCATTGACAATCCACCAATTCAATCCCGAACTCTGCGTGAGAAAAGGATATGTCCAACCTTTCATCCATCCTTGACTCTGATTCCTTTCTTAAGTATGTTTTGGTCTTGATTTTTAGATTAATTTTTTGTAATTATAAACCGTAATCAGTTATTATTGTTGTTTTAACAACTTTTCACGATTATTATTCAATTATTATTATGACCTTTTTTTTTTACATTTTTCTTTGTATCTATCGTGCGGACAGATTATTTTCCATAATTCTGACCCGTAAATTATTTTCTTCTTAACCCCCTGATTATTATGCAACCTCAATTTGATATTTGGAGTCGCGACTCACTTTATGATGCAATCTTTTCTATTCTTATCTCATACATACATAAAAATTTAAGGTCGGATCAAGGAATTGATGATCACATATCTATTTGTAATTAGTTGTAAGTTGATATATACGATCATAGAATAAACTAATAACTATGTATCCTGTACAAGTGATTTGAAGGTTAAGTTTGTTTAACTTATCCCGTTGCTAATATTCCTAAACGGATTTTGACTCTTTTCAATTGTCACGTATGTATCTTATGTGGATTGCTGTGATATAGTATCACATGTTGTATAAAATAGATAGACTATGGGGAGCACCTTTCATCATGAACTGATATCAGCTGCCAAACCTTTAAAAATCAAGGATTTTTAAACATTCATTTGTCCTAGTTTAAGACTATACAGCGCAATGAACACATGATCCATGACCCAAGGATCACCTGGTACTAATCCGAGATATTATAATAGACATAGACATACCATTAATATCCTTATTCTACAATAAAAAATTTACTATCACAAACCGATCTATGCTAGACAACCATTGTAAATCTGAAAATACTGGACACACATTTCGTTTTAGTACGAAACTCCTCAGCATTGTTCATCCACGACCTTACCACCAGGAGTCGAACCCAAGACTTTTAATTTCATGCGAGAACACTTAACCTCTTAATCACAAAACCGGGACATGATAATGAGCAAGTTTAACTTAGATGAACCCAGGAGATTTCACTACCATTCTCTATCGTATTCGGTAAGCACCTTCCTCACAACCGACACAGCCAAACTGCACTGGTCACGGTTTCCCACTAGAACTCAGAAAGTTCCTCACAAAACTAGTCATCAGTGGGTACACCATTGAACTCTGGCTCATTGACCTAGAGGTTTGGCGTTCGAACGCGCCATTGAGAGTCCTTGATTCTATCCTTTGTTGTGGTGTCGTGCATACAACTAAGGAATCCCATACTAGGAAAAACAAGGTCAACCAGTACTTTCAAGTTTTGAATGGTTGTCTACGATTGGTTCACGATTGCAGGAAGGGATTTTTAAACTTATCTATTAACTTTTTTTTCAAAATTGAATATTATACTAGTTAGTTATCAATAGATTCTTTTTCTTATCGTATTTCTTTTTCACACAGCAATTAAAACATCCAAATCTGATCAATTTAATTGAAGTTTTCAAACGTAAACGCCGATTGCATTTGGTGTTTCAGTATGTTGATCATACATTATTGCATGAATTGGAGAAACATACCAAAGGGTAATAAACTTTTAATAAATTTGGTACATTGTGTAATGATGAATGGGTTTTGTATGTGGTATTTTATTCTATAAGTTATATTCGTTATAGATTTTTCTCAGTTAAGGGTACCATTGAAAACCAGCAGGCACTGAACAGCTGTTTCGACCTAAAATGAGGCTCTTCAACAGCATACATCTATAAATCTGCTAATGACTAGACTCAATGGCTGCAATAGTAAAATGTCAACCAAGAGATTTGAAAGTTCTGAGTTTCATACATAAAACGTTCACGAGTCAACATTGTTTAAGAATCCTGAATATGATTTGAGGTTATATAATTCATCTTAAACGATTCATTATTAAGTGTAGTCTCTATCTAATATATAAATAAATAAAATGTGAGTTGTTTCATTTGATACTTACTCTGTTATTGTAATACTGGGAAATTTGAATTAAGTTTAATTATTAAAGAAATCATTTGATCAAATCATTGAAGGAAGAGAAAATGTATGGGACATGTTCAAGTACGTTTTCATCTACATAATTCTGTAATACAAACTTTCGTTTAACGTTAAGTATACGATGGCTACCAAGAAATATTTAACAAATATATATCCCAAAAACGTGTGAATTAACGCTATTCCTAAGTTGTATTCCAATTGATACCACTTTATATTGTGATTCATTAGTTTTATTTTCACAAAACACTGTACTTCGTTAGCGTTAAACAACTTTCTGTCACCCGATAATAAAGAATATTTGTTCATTCCATTTATAGTGATTAGATAAGCTTAGTTGTCTTGATAAAGATACAGTGATTATCGATAAAAATCGTTACTGATCATACGATATCCCGGAATGACTAAAATCGATAATATAGACTTATCTGTCCCAACAGTGAAGTTTACATATATAGTACTCACTGTGAGATATAATGATCATTAGTTCAATCTCTTTATAGGAGCGCTGATAAGTAATGTTGAGGGATTCTATGCTAGGGTAAAGCAAATATTCAGCAACTCTTAATTCTCACTGGTTAATTTATTTTTAAATAAAATCTGCCTTCTACTTCTTTGTTAGTCTACAAGATATTTCATGGTCGATTATTTAAAGAGTTATGCATTGAAAACTAATGTTTTACATCATGTAAATATTTAAAGTTTGCTTTCATCAATAAACATTATCGACTAGAGAATCACTGAAAATTATAGAATACTGGACAGATATTTCTCAACGTGGCTGACTAACTTTACTACAAGGAATTGGATATAAAGCTTTTAGCTTCCGTAACAGACATAATATATATTTAAGTCAGTAAGTTTAAATTCAGTAAATAACATTTCCAACTTCGATCAAATTACACAAGTTTGCCTGAAGCTCAGTTATTATCACTAGGGACATTTATCTCATTATCGATATGGGTTAAACTCCATTGATCTTGACTTCATAAATGAACTTCACAAACCTATCTTAAAGTTTGTTACTATTGAATGGACGATTATTAAAACAAAACATGAGATATGTTGCAATTGATCAACACAAAGTTAGTTTATTTTATCATAGTCTGATTCATTAACTGCTGGACCAATGAAAACTATTTATTTTTACCGAAGAAACAAAACTTTCCTCATTCAAATAAAGTTTGTTATTTTGACGGATTTCTATTGTTGATTTACTTAAAAGACTTGACTGTTGTAATACATAAGAGACTACCAGTTAAGCAGAGTAATTTCGAATTTGTCTAATGAATTTCCTTTGAATTCAAATGATTTAATCGTCTCACTGAATATCGAGTTCAATCTTTTCTCTGATGACATATTTCTTTGAATCTAAAATCATCTTATCTTTACAAATGTTTTTGCATCCTTTAATGATGTATCACTTCTACGTGATAATTGCAACCAATGGTTAGAGAACTTGAACGATATGGCTCAAAATCGTTAGCTCAGATCCAAACTTCCTAAATTCCTGATAAATTCTTCTAATTATTTCTCTCATTTTTATTTTCTTCTAGAATCGTATCTCCTATCCCTAATCTTTTCTACTACCACTAATACTGTTACTATCTCTACTGCCATGAAACTCGTCCAAACAATTTTATCTAACTATGCTAACTAGATTTGGGAACTTATACCGATGTACACATGTGACATGTTCTACATTGCGTTTGACTAAATCAGTAATTGATTATACTACAAAATTGATTAAGTTGATTTGTCCACATAGTTAGTTTGATCCCGTAGAAATGATCATTGGCAAGTACTGCTATAAGGAGTCTTTAAAACGAAAAATACAACTGAACAATTTTTAGTGGCTTTTAAACTCTGATGTCAATTTATAATGGAAATTATCATCAGTTTACAGAAAGTCTACATAAATCCTACTGAATTGTGCAATGATAATATGAATATTATTTCTTAATAAAAAAAATATATTCCATGCATTTGGTTTTCTTCTCAAAGCTTTAGCAAATTCCTTACTTACTTATGCCTGTTATCCCTCATGAAGGAGAATAGGCCACCCACCAGAATTCTCCATCAATATAAATTACAGAATTCCATGAATTCATCATATATATTTCGTAGGATAAGAGTTTACAAACCGGAAAAAAGTACAAGTTCTTATGCGAATGATGTACAAAGATCATTAATCGAAGAATAAAATCAGTCAAGTGAAAATATAAAAGTATTATTTTTAATCACTAACCTATTTCTACTGTACATAATGTAATGTTCACTAACACAAAAATAGACAAACATCCCTCTCATATCACTTTCAACTGTTTGTATGGACTTAAATAAACATTCAAAAATATGTGCGTTATAAGGATAGGAAGACAGACTTATACACATTTTATTGGGCATATTCGAAAGAAACTATGCCTCCGTGGACAAAATAGTCTTTATAGCCGGATTGAACATCAAGTTCTAGATAACAAGGACAAAGTGGAGACAATGAATGTATCTAAAGTGATCAATGGACACTTTAACTATCCTTGATAGATATTCCCTGAAGTCATGGAAATTATATTTGAACTCAATCTTTGTATTTCAAAATGCCAGTGGTTAACTTTTTTCTACTTTGGTAACTGAAGTATTTCAACTCCTCTTTTCTTCATATTTAGCCCTTCAACTTAGTAAATTCAATCTTCATGTTTTTTTCTACGTCAATCTCTTCGATTTTTGTTAGATTCTGTAATTTAAAAAAGTTATCTTAATTATTCGGAAACTATGACTTTGAATATTTTCTAAGAAAACCCTGTTTAAACTTGAAGTTTTAGTTACATTTATAATTTAAACAACTTATTGTCAGTTGATGGATAATTCATTTTCTTTCAAATTTCAAATCGTATCAATAACTAAGCTCTTTATTTGAACACAGATATAGGTATAAGGGGGAACCAGGTAAATATGCGCCACACAAAACTCATTTGATATGTGTGAGGGCTTTGATACTGCCCGGGTGCCCAAACCGAAGCAGAAGGTCATACTCCGGGCCTTTGACCTAAAGGTCTGATCCACAAGACAGTGGAGCAACGTAAGGCGATGCAGTCTCATGGTAGACAGTGACCAATAATTGGTTCATACGCCCTTTGTTCCCTCAGGATACTGGATCCCATGTTGGTTTGGAATCAGAGTTTTCCAACTCCCCTAGGTGTACTCTACATGTCTACCGACCTGGTTAAAGCGCCGAACATTTGCTTTTAAGCCTTTCAATTTCGTAAACAACGCCCCCGCTACGAGAAGGCAGTGAGTAGGACTTCCCTGGCAGAGGCTATAGACGCGTGGCCATGTGAGAGCATTTCGAGAGGGAGAGCTGACTCTCTCCACTTTCGGCCGTACCAGGGCATTTAAGGGCACTAAGCTCTTTAACTGAGGAGAAAACAGTGACATGACATGAATGAATTCATCTCTTGCCATAAAATGTTTGATTCTTAATTTTTTAAAACTTTAATCGAATTTAACGTTCTTGATAAATACAAATATCTACCAAATAATTTTACAATTATTTTTAAAGGAGTTTAATAATAGCTAACAGTGGGATCCCGTAAGCACATTTCATCCTATCCGGGACTTATCAACTAGATGTAACTAGATTCTAGTATTAATATTTACTCTGAGACTCAAACCCAGTGGCTTTCACTTCGACAAACTAATGCCATTATCCATTGAGTTACTACGTTCAGATAGTTAATGACTTGTACGACAAGGATGAATTTTAATTCATTTATAAGAATTATTTGAATCTTCCGGTTGTTGATACTAAAGATTGTAATTGATTAGACTCTTAAGGAATTTGTGGATTCTGGGTGAATTGTTTCAATTTCTCCATTAACTCACAAGTATTTTAAGCATAGTTGGATAGTTGATACTAGTGGAATCCGGAATCTAGGTACATTCAAATGAACAAAAAATCCAAAAATACGATCAAATAAATATCCTGAATACCAGTGCTAAATTTTATGCATCTCTGCTTGAAATGTTTGTGACTTAATAGTAATATTGAATCAATCCATTGAAAAATGCATAGATATCAGAAACATGCCTATCAATTACAGTCTACAATATCAACAAAGAATACTTCAAACAATCTTTAGGAATAAACTAAGTTTTAAAAATTATTGTTTTAATTATCAAAACTCCATTTTCACATTTTTGTTTGTTTCTTTTTCTATTTGGAAAGTACTAAATTGTGTATTGTATTTATTCACTTTTACTTTCTCTGTCTTACGTACACATATACATATTCATTCATGTTATCTTCATCACTTGTTAAACATTGTACAATTTCGTCTTATTATCTGAACAACATTATCTCTCAAAATATATAAAAGTGGTAACAATCATATATTGTTATTATTATTATTCATATTACGTAATCTAGTATTATAACCTTTTTATTAACTGTGTTCACATTTCCTCACGGAATTAGTACTTTTATAAAAACTTTCATATATATACGATTGTACAGCTTGATAATAAATTCGTTGAAAAGAGATCCCTTCTCTGAACTTCGTGTTTTAACAATCATATATGTTTATGTTTCTATAATACTGTTAAGAGTATGATGTTTAAATAAAGCCATTGCTCAAATATTTTAAATGTAATTTGATGTAGTCAATTTATATTAATTAATGTATCTTTATAAAATGATTTTGAAAATAAGATAATTACCATTTACAGATGACTTGTATCCTCTAACACTTTCCTTAGTTACCGTTTTCTTTTTACTCCCCCCTTTTTTTTCCCTTCATCTAGTTCTTTTCATTACTATTTTTCTTAAATTATATTTATTGAATTAAGAATAGTTAGAGTAACTCAATAAGTTTTATATTCAATGTGTTATTGTTGTTATTGTTATTTTTGTACGTGTGTTTGTTTTTAATGTCAAATATAAACAATCCCCGATACTATGGTAACTAATAGAAACTTGAGTTCTATTTTTCTTCTTTATTAAATAATCTTGTTTTCATATTTACAATAAATTTCCATCATTATATTTGTATAATTGAATTATTTAGATTATTATCTTGACTTTTAGTATTAACGCTGGTTGTACAATTGTAGTTCCCTATTTTTTTTTAAAAAAAATATAACGTTGGTTAATTTTTAAGTCATTTTAAAACAAAATTAACAATATAATGACTCCATGTTCAATCAAATTAAGGCTCAAAACTATAATACAATAATTGTAATAAACTGTTTGTGGGGGGGGAGTGTATTTTTTCCATTATAGATATTAGAAAATGCAAATGATCAATCCTTATTGAGATATATACATCCTGAACATCATACATAAATCGATATTAACTTTCAATAAGGAGTTTTTCAGTTAATATATCAGTGGTGTGTTGTAGTAAAACTTAAGATACAGAAATATTTAGATGATGAGTTCTATATGGGACGAAATGCGAATTTGGGATTCCTTTGACAGTTTCAATTTGGCTTTACTAAAACCATTTAATTAAATACTATAATCGGTGCAGTTCACTCAAGATTCTCATGTACCAAAAGAGATTGACTAGTTTTAGATATTAATAGCGAAATCTGGAAAACGTAAATCTTGTACAAACAATATGTTGAAGCAATTGACTTATTTGTCTCCTTATCTATCCTCTGTCAAAATGAAATACATTGTATTCAGATTCATTCTCACTTCCTTACACCAGCCAACCCTCGTGGAGGAGCATAGGCCGTCTACCAGTCCTAGTTAAACCTTTCCAGTTGCTATTCATTCTTTCGATATCTGCTTCCGATTCTCGACGCAGTGTGTCATTTGGTTTTCTTCTCTTTTGTTCCCCTTAACGATTCCAAATTAGCTCTTGCCTCATCATGTGGTTTGATGACTACCACAATGTGTGTCCTATCCAATCCCAACGTATTTTCCTAATATACCTACCCATCAACTCGAAGCTGGTTTGTTCTCTCCCATAGTAGGTTGTTGTTGTTGATGGTATCAGGTGAACGGACATTCAGTATCTTGCGTAAACAATTGTTTAGAAATACCTGTAACTTCTTGATGATTGTTGTAGTAGTTCTCCAAATTTCAGCTCCATATGGTAGAACTGTGTTGACGTTCGTATCGAAGATTCCGACTTTGATATTGGTTGAGAGTTGTTTTGAGTTGCATATGTTGTTCGACTGTAGGAACGTTGTATTTGATTTACTAATCCCTGGATTTACGTTTGCATCACATCCTCCTTCTTCATCGATGGTGCTGTCCAATCAGGTATGTGAAATTTTCCACCTACTTCATAGTTTCTATATCAAATATGGTTGAGTTGGTGTTCTCCATATTGTATTTGATGATCTTGGTTTTTCTATTGTTTATGTGGGATTCATTGATGCAGAGGCTGCTGCTACACTGGTTTTCTTCATCTGCATTTGTTGGCATCTATGGGATAGGATGGCTAGATCATCTGTGAAGTCGAAATCGTCTAGTTAACTCTGAGCTGTTCATTGTATTCCGTGCTTCTTGTCAGATACAGAGGTCTTCATAATCCAGTCAACTAACAGTAGAAGGAGAAAGTATGATAGTAAGTGAACATTTCTGACTCTGGCTCTCACTTAGAATGCATCTGTCAGCTGTCCTCCATGCACCACTTTGTAGTGTGGTTCATTGTGTGAATTTCGTATAACTTTGAAGATTTTCTTAAGTACTCCATATTACTGTTTTTGAATCCTACTGCTGTATAGGCTGCTGCCACATTGATTGTCTTTACCTGCATTTGTATGGGATGGATTCATTCACTGAAAACATTTTCACCATGGCATCTTTTCTACTATATTTATTCTTTGCAATGAGAAGAATGGTAGAGATGAAACTAGTCGATAACCTTCACAAATGTTTAGAAATAAAATGACATACTATCATTGTGAAAAGCTGGCATCCTTTAGTTTCATTTCTGAGCTTAAGTTTAAGAAGCATACATGGAAGTATTTTATATTTTGTGCTGAAAATTTTATACTGAAACCAGATATTCAGGATCGAATAAAATGATTTTGGTTGTAAATGATTTTTTTGTTTTTATGATAGGAATGTCGGGCCCAGGTTTGTAATCATATACTATCCCAAAGTCAAATTGTAGGTGATAAATCGTAAATGAGACTCACTATTGAAGAAAGCAAAGTATACCCTTAGTTCGAATCTCATCCACGATCCCACCCCGCGGAATCGTTACACAGGACCTACCGGTCTCGTGAGCGAACGCTTAACCTCTAGATCACTGAGCGGGTTCTAATAATTTTAATGCCAAACTATTTATCCATAGAATCTTAGAATTTTTTGTCGGAAGTTCAATTAAGAATAAGAATATGACTCTTTAACTCCACATAATCACAGAAAATTTCAAATTTTTGCCCAGATTTTGATCGGTTGTAAAATTCATCAAATTCCCATTGTAACACCTTGGCAAATAAACTTATCAGAATTCATTTGTTCACTTAATAAACTCATTAGATATACACATAACTGAACACAAAAGCCCGTTCATAAAAACACAACCATATTTATGATTTTTAGGCCTTCTCATCAGGTAGGCAACACCAACAATACACTCATAATCCACAACTAAATAGTACAGATGTATATTCTAGATTCTACTTCGCTTGTACCCAGCTGACTGACTCAACAATCGACACTCACATTTACGGTATCCCTACTTATACTACATAGCTAATAACACTCAGCTACAATTTATCATTGTATCAGTCAGCACCATTTCATACAGCAAACAAATGGACTCGTCAATCATGCACCAATAATCTGTTCACTAATTAATATTCTCATCCATACATGAATTGACAAGTATAGCCAATCTGTTTTAGTGTTTAGGTAGTCAACTCAGCTTGTGCTTTAAACTCTTCGTACACCATAGCGTATTTACGCAGATGAGATTTGAAAGTTACAAGAAAATATTTTTTGGCTATTGATGTCGTATTATACACTACATATTATTTGCTTAACAAGAGTTTTATGAAATTAAAGTTATAATAAGTTATGTACCGTTAGGTTGACATTAGATATTGAACTTGGCTGCAAGTCAACGATGTATATTATCAATTCCATTCAGTTCACAATAAGATACGATAATTATCCAGTTTCAGAATAATACTAGTGACAATAAGTAACTTTATGGATAGATACCACTCAAAACTCTTACGCTTCTACCAGCTTACTATTTATGACAGAAAAATGGATTTGATAAGTATAGAAATAACAAAGGAAGATAATATGTTAAGTTTCTCATGGAACTGATCATCAGAATATGAAACTTAACCAACTGAATTAGTAGTTTACTAGTTGAATACATTATTAATGCAATTAGACAATATTATTCATTTCTTAGACATTTAACCAAGATAGAATCATTTATCAAACAATTAATGAAAATGAAGATCATAAGGTGACAAATGTTTTTTTTCTTACCTCTTCTACCCGTTACATCACATTAGTAGAGTACAATTATGTATGTGATTAAATCAATATTATGAAATTAGATTGATTGTATTTTGTTAAAGAATTGGTTCCTTTTTTTTGTTATTGTGGTTTAATGTTTATTTTCACGGGGTTTATTTTTCAGGTTGGATAGATTACAAATACGAAAATTAACATATCAATTGTTACAAGCAGTGAATTTCTGTCATGCACATAATGTATGAACATTTTATTCAATGTATTTATCATATACATTCATTTTGTATTATTTATTTGTATCTACCCTATTGATGTTTAGGACTGTAACTGATCAGTCTCTTATTGGTATATGTACATCTTGTACGGATTGTCTTGATATTGTCTTAAGTCATAAGTAAATAAGATGAAATGCGCTTCCTGGATTCCACTACTAGTCATCATCGAATTTATCATATATGTCATTTCTTAGTATCTTCTTGTTTGTTAAGTTACTCAGCTGAATCGGTCAAGTTCTTTGAACTAATGACATTCATCGACATTAGATCTTTATTTATCCTTTAATAAGATGAATAATATCAAGAAAAATATATATTAATCCAAGAGAAAAACATTAAATGAATTCTGGAAATTTACTCATCATAAATTGCACTGATCGGTAGCATTAAAATAGGATCCTCATTTAGAGAATGTTATTTCAATATTGAATTATGTTTTTCTGGGCTTATAAACTACATTAAATGTAATCATTGAACTGAATTATTTGCTTAATTGAATTAGTAAGATTAGTTGTGTTAAGAGTGAAATATTTAATCACTACGATAACACTGAATGAATGTTACAGTTCCAACCTACTTTTCAAGTTGTATTGTTCTTATCTTCAGAACTCAATATTTAGTGTTCGATTTCTGTAGGTTAATAAGTAACTGAGTGAATGGGTATTTCTTTAACATAAACTAGAACGAAACAATCTAATTTCCAATTAATTAATAGATTAGTAATAGGTTTTATCATCAATCTGTTTTATACTTCCAAACTAATCAATTTCAAATTAGCAACATTTAGCGCTTCAAGGTGATATTCAAAAAGCACTATTAATTCACAATCGTTTAACGAGTATCTTTATACAAAATGCATTAATGAGATAATTTATGCACTTTGAATTGACAGGAAAATTTGTACTGTGTCAGTCTAGGATAGAAATAATACCATGTTTGTACAGAAATATCTAAAAGGGTTAGTTTTCTTACTCGGAATAAGGCCTTATTCCCCTAAACCATTTAAAATTGTGTCAATCCTATTCGGTTATTTATTTATTTACTTTGAACAAGTGACTTCCGTCAAGTCAAAAATGTGAATGTTTTTTAGTGGCTAACAATAGGTATAAAACGTTTCAATGTCGTTTCAAAAAAAATTCTGGAATTCAGTAGTATAGTGTAGTTACATCTATTCTCTTTGTAAAACTTATATCAAAATGAGAATTAGATTTATGAAGGAAACTATGTTGGAAATAAAATGGATATACATAGATGTTATTGAACGAGAACTGTGTACTACATTACGAACTGACTGAATTAGTGATGATACCAAAGACTTTTAAGCTTCGCTTCCCTGTATCATCATAATTTTAGGCTAACTATGATTTTCAACCTAGGAGTAGCTGCCTAACTGACGTCGGTATATGTTTAAAACTACCTTACACTACTATTTAGTTTGTGCAAAACTGTTTATTTTCAATAATTGCTGTCATTCATTTGTAAGAATTCATATTATCAAGTTGTTAATTTTATGAACTGCAATTGATAAGTATTTGACAGAAAGTGTAAATCCTGAGCAAACTACAATGATATACCCATTTATCCACATAATTTATTACTGTTGGATAGTTATTAGAAGTGAAACCCAGGATTTTTGCTTTGTCCTACCTGAGACTTGTCAGTTAGATGCACCAGCATCGAAATACTGATGTTCAGTCCGGGACTCTAACCCAGTGCCTTTAGCTTCAAGTGTCAAGGTATTGTCCAACAAGCAGTTGAACCACTAGCTTGTGCAACGAGTGTGTATTTTTAGCTTTAAGAATTTGTATTTTTTCGTTGTTAGAACTTGTAATTTGGATGGGACTGTGAATTTTTGAACATGGTAGCTTATTGGATAACCCCTTGGCGTTCGAACCAAAAGACGATGGGTTTGAGTCCGAGTGTAGATATCAACATCGAGATGCGGATCCATCCAGTTGACAATTCCTGGATGGGATGAAACTCATATCCTATATTCCAATGCTAAACACTAACAGATTTCAATAAATAGTCGATGTTATTAAGTATTCTAAATGTGTATTTGTCTATAATTTAATCTGTTAACTTATGATTATTTGTATTTTAGTGCATTCATCGTGATGTTAAACCAGAGAATATACTTATTACAAAATCTGGTCAGTTAAAGTTATGTGATTTTGGTTTTGCAAGATTATTAAGTGAGTTTAACTCCTCCAACTTAACATTATTTGTTTTGATAACAATAATATAGTAATCAGTATGCGGCTATGGGACTTGTTGAATTCCAATGAAATTACTGACCGATTTAAGTTACACAACAGTTTAAAATCTGGAAGCGTTGGACGGCCTGAATAGCTTTTATCTATGATCCCACAACCGGGAGTTAGACACAGGAATTCTCATTTCACAAGTGAACACTTAACCTCTAGATCACTAGGACCTGATCCAGTGGTGTATAAGTCCAACTAAAATCAATCAGCGACCAGTGTAGTTCAATGGTGTCGGGTGTAAGCGAGTTGTCGAAAACTGTGGGAGATGGTCGCGTAATAGTGTAAGTTAATTGAAGTTAAACTAGTATACCATAGGATCCGGGCTTAGTAGTCTGAAAGCTAGAAGGTCATATATGAAACTAAAGGTTCGAGATCCGATTCTCCTTTGCGGGCAAACACATTTAACATAGATATTTGCTAAATGATTTATATTTTCTACACGAGACTGATAAGTTATGGGTTCGAATCTCACGAGGAGGGATCGTGGATGCGCACTGCTGAGGAGTCCCATACTATGATAAAACGGCCGTCCAATACTTCCAGGTTTTCCGTGAATTCAATTATTAAATCACCACAATCTCCATAAAACTCCTTTCTGATTATAGTTCTCTATCTACTTAGTGTAAAATATTTTTTGGAAAAGTCCCTTACAATATCTTTTATTGTAGATAATCGAGCCTAAAACATAGTTCAGTTCACTGGCTTGAGATCATATCAAATATAACTTTGAATAGTAACCTATAACGATCATGATATAGTTATCTCTTACTTTCTTCATAATAATGAGGTGATCTTCATTAAATAAATAATATCAGAATGGGTTTTGTGGAGATTTTTAGAAATTTCACTGGTTGAAATCATGAGTCAATTGGCGCAACTTCGTGGATTGGTTGAAGTTAGACATTAACACCGTTGGATGCCGGCTCAGTGGTCTAGTTGGTTAAGCGCCTGGTGCGAGACTGATAAGTCCTGGGTTCGAATCTCGCGAGGCGGGATCGTGGATGCACACTGCAGAGGAGTCCCATAATATGATAAAACGGCCGTCTAGTGCTTCCAGGTTCTCCATGGTGGTCTAGTATCAAATGACTCATGATTTCAACCGGTGAAATAAATAATAGTCTTTCTTAACTATTTCTTCAACTGAACTATATCACTCATTACATATGATTTCTTTTCAATGGTTAATCAAATAGTTTACTCTTTTCTATTATAGTTTTTCTTATAAATTAATTAAGTCATTTATAATGGTAGATATTTCTCAGTACCTTACACAATACTAAAAATCTATATACTTTAAATTGGATAAATAAATAAATAATTATCATCAATGGAAAACAATTTGTTTTGTTTTATTGATCGGGATAATGTAAATGAGATGAAGATTAAAGAACACAATCTGACCATATATATATATATATATATATATATATATATATATATATATATATATATATATATATATATATATATATATTGGAAGATAACAGAAAAACAATGATAATTAAGGAAACATAATTATGAATCGTATCATATTGAATAATAAGTTAAAAGTACCTCTTAGAAAGATTATTGATATTGTACGTAATTATATCTGATTAAATAACTTTCTACTATTTTTTTTTCAAAATGATTAACAATTCATTACCACTATAGGGGTTGTGGAGGTTATTAAGTTTTTTTATTGAGATCATGATTCGATTGATGTTAGACCACCGTTGGAAACCTGGAAGCACTGGACGGCCGTTTCGTCCTATTGTGGGACTCCTCAGCATCGCGTATCCACGATCCCGCTCACGGGATTCGAACCCAGGGCCATCAGTCTTGCGCGCGAACGCTTAACCTACTGGACCACTGAGACGGCCGGTATTCAATGGTGTTAATGTCTAACTTCAATCAATCCAAGAAATTACGCGACCATCTTCCACTGTACTGAGGTAGATACCTGTCTCTACCCGATATGGATTAACTCCATTGGTCACGGCTTCTCACTAGAACTCCGAGAATTCCCTCACGAAGCTAGTCACTAGTGAGCCGTGACCAGTGGAGCTAACCCATGTCGGATAGAGACAGGTATCTACCTCAGTACAATGGAAGATGGTTGCGCGAGACCGAAGGCCCTGGGTTCGAATCCCGTGAGCGGGATCGTGGATGCGCACTGCTGAGGAGTCCCACAATAAGACGAAACGGTCGTCCAGTGCTTCCCGGTTTCCAACGGTGGTCTAACATTAATCGATTTATGATCTGAATCAATAAAAATTTATTATTATTCAATGGTAACGTGACATTAGATAGCCCTTTAAGAATCACTGTTAGCTGATGTATTTATAGCAGACGTTGAAAGTTTACTTGAAGATTCAATTTAAAAGATAGACCTATATATGTAGTATGTGGATGATATTATAATCATGAGTGACAAACATAAAAATATGAATGGCTGGTTAGAAAAACTCAACATAATTTTAAAAAACTTGTTTGTCTTACATGTGAAGAAAAGATAAATAGCCAACTTATTTTTTAAGATGTATTAATTTGTAGAAGAAATGATGGTTTTATCAAACTTTTGGTATTTAAAAAGTTTAAATGAACAGTTTTCATAATCATTGGCCAGTCCTGTACAAACCTAGATTGATAAAGAGACAATCGTATGTGCACTAGCGATACAAGTGAGGGAAAAGTAAAGCTCTTAACTGAATCACTTATGAAAAATGGTTATTCATTGAAGTTCATGAACCAATGGAAAGGTAGCAATATGATGATACCTACTAAACTATTGGCACCCAAAAAATCACTCTACAATTTAGAGGTAACTCAAATAGCCTTATTTTGAAATGAAGACTTGAATTAGTGATAAATAGGACATTTACGCAGCCTTATTCCTCATTACTGAAAAGTCAAATTCTATGTTTTATCAAAAACTCAGATGCCATGTAGATGATTGTGTCACATCCTACTATGTCTATCAGTCTACATGGATAGGGAGGAGCAATTGTGATCTCAAAGTAAGGTTGTTTGAACACATACCTAGGTAGCTAAATGAACAAACGAATTCCAGTAGTCAAATAAGAACACTGAATAGACAAACGTATTGTATTGTGAAACATTTGGTTGTGACAGGTTATTGTGTAGATATAAAATCGAACCTTCAATTGCTGGAAAAGTGTTTAGGCGTGTATACTAGGGTATGTTGAATCCTTTTCCACAAAAAAATTCAAATTCCCTTTATGTGATCAAAAACCATTTGTTCACATCCTGAGCCTACCCTAGTTGTATTGATTTATTGTCCAACATGGTAAGCTTCATATTGTTTTCTTCATTATCTTCGTTTACTCTTACTTTTTGATTTGTCTGGAAATGCGATTTCGCTAATACATACCATATAGATCTGTTATCCTTCTTTTTTATTGGATTATCTAAAAATCACTAAATTCACTTTCGAGTTCCTTTCTGTTCTCTTCATTAGCTGGACCAGGTGATGAATATACTGATTATGTAGCAACACGATGGTATAGAGCACCAGAATTACTCGTTGGTGATACACAATATGGTACACCAGTAGACATATGGGCTATTGGATGTGTTGTTGCTGAAATGTTGACTTCTTTACCATTATGGCCTGGTCGATCAGATTTAGATCAGTTGCACTTGATTACACAAACATTGGGTAAGCAGTAGATAAGATTATGGGTCATTTTTATGTACACTATTGGTTTATTGGATCTATATAAAAGCGGTTGATTTTGTCTTCTCCTAGAGTTAGGGAAGAAAATAATTAAGCAGTTGTAATCAGTGGAAAAAAAGACAAATCTCACTAGTAATATTAACCATTGGTTACATGATATCGTAAAAGTTTACTGTATTTGAAGATGTTCAATAAATTTCAAAATAATGATTTAAGTGCATTGTAATTACTGTGAGAATTGAAGTTTTGAGTTGTATCTCATTTTTGAATTGTAAGTGTACATAGCTGAATTGTCTCGAACTGTCCACTGAACCCTATTTTTTAACAATTTTCTAAATGACCCCACTTCATGATTTAATCTAACTTAAAAATGAACTAGTCTTCACAGAATAGTCATCTTTATTGCTATGACATGTGATATCTGAGAAGTGATACAGATACACACCCTTTCTACACACGAACCTGGCTATCTAAGAGGACAGTGTGAAGATTATTTTGCTCAACTAAACTACATTTACATACACCCATTCATATATTTATATAGGTATGTGCCGCTCTTTAAGGAAATTAAGCTATCATTACTTTGTATCCTATATTTCGGGGAAGAAAACCATTTCTTGACCGATCATATGCACTTATCATTTGACCGATTTCTAACTGACCCAATGTATTGCCTTTTTTCATTTTGAAAAATTAGCCCGTTATTCGGATTTAACTAGTATTAAGATGGGTGTACAATACTCATCATCAATTAATGTACAGATTAATTGAAAAGAACTTAATCATTATTCTTTCTTTACATATTTTTTTGTGCTTATATAGGTGATTTGGTACCACGTCACAGAGAAATTTTTGAGAAAAATTGTTTTTTTAAAGGTTATAAATTAATTGTTCCTGAAAATCGAGTAAGTGTCATAGTTACATGGTTTCTTTGATTAATTTGAAAAGGATGGTAAAGTAAACAATAATTTGAAGAGAATAACATGAATTCATTTTTAAGAGAAGATGAATGGTAGCTAGAAGTGGAACCTAGGACACGCGTTTCGTCATTTTTGGGACTCGTCAGCTGGATGTACCTGTTGATCAATTGCAATCCTAAATATTAATGGAAAGATTCGAACAAACAATATAAAATGAATGGATCCATTTTGTTTTGTTTCTAGGCCTTTATTAACTGCATACAACTCATAATATTTATTTGAAAATAAAAATTATAGAATAAATTAAGAATAATTACCGAAATGATTTCCGTTGTAAGTCAATGTGAACACGCAAATTAGCATTGTATAGAAAAGATATTAAATAGAATTTCAGAAACTGTATTGAATTCAATCTATATGGGCTGGTACTGTGTCATGCTCATTTATGTTACTCTAGCCTCTGGACAGACTAATCTATTGGTTCTTCTCAAGCCACATCTTTACCCTGCCACTTACTAATTCTGACTTTTTTATATGATCGTATACGTGCCAATTACTTACCCTACTCATTATGTATCTATAACTTATTTTTGTTCGAAGCTTGGCTAAATTAAGTTTGCTAACACGTCTTCTCCACCGCACATCGTTTCGTTTCACTTCACTCTGTACCCCTCACTTCGTTTCTTTGATCGTCTGCCTGGATCAATGATTGTACAATATATATATATATATATATATATATATATATATTCAAATTCCATTCTCGTGTTTGACTTATTTAATCCCGTTATTCACTAACGCGATCTAAGTCGATAATTGTATATAAAGATTAGTAACATGCGTATTTCAATAACGATCAGAAGCGTCAGATACAGGGACATATAACAAATAATTGTTAAACTAAGCAAATGTACATTCAAATTAATTTCCAATCAAGTTTTATGCCGTTGTTGATGAGATCCTAAGGGGGGGGGGCAGGAGAATGAATTCTCACATTTATTCTTGTTTTTCACTGATTGAGTATGTACAGAATTTATTTGATCTTTAAAGTAGGAGTGTAATACATTGTAAATATTTGAATAGATTTGTTATATTAGTCACATTTATGTCTAATTATTGCTTAACTAGTTTGTACTTCGTACTGAAAACCTGAATCGAATGTTGCGTAATGAAAACTAATAAAACTGATAGTTGGTATTAGTCACATATTCGTATGATATTAATGTACTTGGTTAAATAGTTGAACTAACACATATATGTATGAGGTATACATTGAAATGTATTCTGTTATGCATGTTCTTACTTAATGCAAACCAGCTGTATTTGAGTTAAATAAACTGAGTTAATAAGAAGTTATATCCCCGTATTCTTACTTAATCAAATCCTTATTAGTTTCTATAGGAAATTCGCATTATATCATGATGTAATAGTAAATTTATACTTGTATTCTATCATATTTTCAGATTAATGATCATATTCTATTTCCTAATCCGTTGATTTTTATTTCCATAGAAAGATTTGGGTGAGAAATTCACTTCGTTACAACCGCCAATTACTTCGAAAGAGTTAAATTTTTTACAGGTAGGATAATAGGTTATCATTATGTTTATGATAGTTATTATATTTACTGAAGAAAATAACCTTCCTTTCCAATGATTTTCATTTTGGCTGAATTCAGTCGAATGAAAATGGAGTATACCAACTATAAACTGATTTATGTATTTAAGAGTAGGCAGCATCTGCCTTGTATTATATGATGATATTAAATGACATAGTTCAGTAAACTGTAGTAAACGCTTAAACCTTATATCAGTCAGTAACAACGTAGAACTTCGTACGTACGTACATCATTTCGAGTTGCCACACCACATTAGCACGGAGATGCAGTTGTCGATTCAAATCCCATAGTGGTAGAGGTCATAAGAGTATAAGCAGTAATCGGAAAGATTAGTGTTTGGAGATGTTACTTAAAGAGTATAATACAGTGAAATAAACTTGGGAAGAGAAAAAAAAAGACAAGGGGGAATCAGGAGATCAAAATTTGGGAGAATATAAAGAGTGTATGCACCTGCGCCATTGCAAACCTTAAATATACTCATATGTAGGGATAAATGGGTGCTAATTTTCATTGAGCTGATATTTCCATTCTGGCTGAGAGTAGATTCTATGACATGCGTTTCGTCCCATTTTAGGACTAGTCAACTGGATGTATATTCAAATCAGTGTCGGGTTTGAGTGGTTTTCAGAGATTAGATATCTGAGAATGAACATCAACCGTAGAATGACTGAAATCAGAAACTCTAGATAGGTGTTTCTTCACAGTTCGGGTCTCAGATGTGCACATACATGAACTCAGATAGAATAGACTTTAGTATATATAAGGCTGACTGATAAAATTGATTCCATTCAACCAGTGAGTTTGAATTCAGTGATCAACGACTCCATCTACAGTCGATTTGCGATATACTGAAACGATCATATCGACCATAGGATCTAAGTGCATTATCAATACTTTCAAAGTTAAAGATACTGTATCCTCAACGATGTTCAAACTTTATCGATCAAGTTGTGATATGGTCACTAGTCTTGGTTTATATATATATATATATATATATATATATATATATATATATATATATATATATATATATATATATATATATATATATATATTTAGCGTGCGCTATTTAACGGTATATGATTAAAACCGACTGGCAGGAATCCATAAACATTGAAGGTGGAGGAATTTTATGTGAGGTTTGAAAAAGCATTGATCGAGTTCGTCTTAATAAATAAAAAAGAAGAAAAAGTCAACTATCAGAGACTAGCTAATATGTTCATTGTTGGCTTCCTTTTTATCCAAACGTGGAAGATTTCTGATTTTACATCCAATACATCAAGAATAGATGGCTGACTAATTATAGAAGAGAATCTTAAAAATTACTAGTTATACATTATTATATATTGCAAGAATAGTTTATTGGTTTATGCACTCCGTTTTTTAAAAAGTGGAAGATTCGAAGTCTGATACACCAAATTTGTTTTAGCAACCGGGGAGCATCACACAATGCAGCTCAAAACAAGGGATATAAACCTGTACTTATTAAAACAAGTCACATAATTGATTGGCTGTTCAAGTATAAACACATCATGTGCCAAGGCTCATATATCATCTTAAGGTCAAACGTTGGTTGTGAGATCATAAACGATGTATGTTATTGAAGGAAGTGGCTAAATTAAACTATAAGGGTAAGCCAGTGATGAATGAGTAAATCGATTCAAGGTAACATTACACATATCAAATAAGCATGTCGTCAATGGACGATGAATGATGTGAAATAACGAAGGAACTGCTGCCGGTGGATGGAAACATAAAATCTTTTACTTAAAAGAATGTTACGACGTATATGAAAAACGATTAGGATGTAGAGTTTAGAGTTCAGTCAAGGTTAGGATATACAGTATAACTTGAGCTAAACTTAATACAAATACTTAAATTTTTAACCCTAAATTACAAACTGCAAATCTTAATTCTAACTCTAAAACCTATTCTATGAATTTTAATCCTAAATACTGAGTCTGAATCTTAATCATGGCATTGTAAATTGGCCATTGATATTTGCAGTATTCTTATTGGCTGAATAGGTTAACAACCTGTTATTTTACTTCACAGATCCCCTCAAGCTCGCCCTTTATATTCAGCTTTGCCAAAAAAGTTGATAATGTACCTACTCAACGTATCAGTCAACATATTTTTGTCTAGGTCAGAAGAACAACCGTATACATGCCTATGATTTTTGTGCATAATAGTTTAGTTTAGTGATTAAACCTTCGTTCTCATTTCAGTCTTCTAAATTAAATAGTAGATTGGGTATCTCGTGGTAGGAAAACTTCAAGTCATTCAGTTCTTGCTATTAAACGCCAGTTCCATAATTATCAAATTATTTATTTTCATTAAATTTAGAGCTGTTTAAGCATGGATCCTACAGAACGACTTAATAGTGAGGCATTATTAAAACATCCATATATGGAAATGCACGGAAGACACCCACATTATTATCATGGTGAATTAAAACAAGTATATAGTTCATGTGGAGATGGTTATAATAATCATGGAATGAAAAAAAAAGCTGAACGTAATTTCATTCAAAATTCACAAAACAAACCAGTTATGATTAATCAAATTAGTACTGGGACAATGATCCCAAGACGTAAATATCAACAACAGCAAATTCCGCAACAATCTACTGATCGAAATCAAACAACTGCTACACCACAAAATGAGTCCAATTCAATTTCACCGACATGTTTCCCTCCAACTAGTAGTATTACACCAAGTTTTAATGCTGGTCGAACAAATTGGTTTGTTCCAGGAATTGTTGGTCAAAGTCTATATAATGTACGTACAAGTAATTAGTTAAAAGAATTCCTTATCAAAATTTATTATTATTATACTTTAGCAAACTTTTATACACATTAATTTTAACAGTTGCTTTAATGAATCAGATGTAAAATGAACCTTTAAAGGTTGAATCTATGAAAAACTTTACATCATTACAGATTGATATTTTTGCCCGATAATCATTGGTTTTGATGTAACAAGCCATGAAGATCTCCTACCTGTTTGATCTCTGATACAGTCATCAATTTGAAGTGCTGAATATTGTATAACGAGTTGAAATATCTATTCAGAAATTGTTTAACTAAAATCAGTTCGTCAAGTAAACTACAATAATTTTATAACCAAAATAATTAGTAGTTATAAATTACAATTAGTGTCATTTACATAAAAGTATAAATGGGAAAATTAGTTGGTTACTGATCATTATAACGTAACACTGTTCCCTCAGAGGCTTGTATAGGATAAAGATTGTGGTATGATAATGTCTCCTAATTGTTCAATTTTGTCCTTGGTGTATTTATATCAATAAGTGTAAAGCCTCTGACAATTTAATGGAAATATCGGTAAATAAACTATTTTTCTCCCGAAAACAAGCTTTCATCCAGCATCCATTTATTGTCGATTTCATAAAATTGAATATATATTATATAGTTAATAATTTTTATATTCGGACTCTTCAACTAAGCATATGACCGATTCACACACTCCAAATAAAGGATGAATATGATATTCAAATATGTGAAATATAAAGCTGAATCATATTTAATGTTTGACTAGCAATAAAATCTAGGATACGCGTTTTGTCTTATTTGGGGCTCGTCAACTGAATCAATCTCAATCTCTTATTATGAAATTGAATTCTATGTTTATTATTTGTAATTGTATTCATAAACATTGATTGCCATAATAGAAAAGTGATCATATCAACTAATGGCCCCTCCTGTAATTGTATCTATACCGTTTTTTTGGTTAGTCCACCTGATTTTTAATCTAATGATTCTAGGTGGAAACTGACTGTAAAATCAAACAAAGAATCACTATAAACCAATGAATAGAATGTTAATGTAACGATAACTAGTAACTTAAACAATTAGATCCTAGTAAGGACGTTATCTTCATTGATAGTCATATGTTTAATTTAGTGCGAAGTGATAGGTGTACACTCTTAAAAAGTTAAAAATTAGAATGAAATTGTCTAATTTCGTCAAACACTGACCGACATCTGAAATTATTTGTTGCCGACATAGCTGAATATAATTCAGTAGTCAAGTAAAATTTAATAGAATTAACTTTGAGCTTGTATCTGATATCTATGTATCTGTCCAAGTAAAATTTATTGGAATGACCGTCAAAAAGTTGACATATTAATTGTAATATGTAATGTATAATATCAAGTGTGCAATTGACAGTAGATGTTCACTAACATCTAACGGTTATTTCAAACAAAATTCAAATATTATGATACTACTCAAGTTACATTAAGATACTTAACAATGAATTTGCTTTCAACTGATCATAGTTCTTGTAAAAAAAACTTATCAACTTTGATTTATTGTGGATAATTAAAGAAATTACTAATTATGTGACCTGAAAATTCAAATCTGCTTAGTATTATAGATGAATACTGAACCACAATGAAATTGAATCATTACAGTTTACATCGTGGACTGAGTTATGTCTGTTGTTGCCGTAGTTATATCCACGTATCGTCGCTGTTATCTCTTTGTCGAATCTGTTTTGTTCATAACCTTATTGTTTCGAATCATCAATTGAAAGTTACTGTAATTCAATGATTCTACTGCATATAGTTGGAAACAGTAACCATTGCAATTTTACATGACAAGAAATGAAAAAACAAAAACCTCTAGAAATGACTGTAAAACCACATTCCCAATCAAGTCCCGAAATCATGTTGCCTTCATACCAAAATACAATCATTTATATATTAATTTTATACACTTAGTAATATCAGATATTAGGAAAAATACATAAAAATAGACACAGAATACAATTTATCTGGATTAATACAAGGAATATACATATCACACTGAATGAAAGTTCATACCTGTCACCCTGGTAGAAATTCTCCATGAATCGGTCACAAAAAATACTGACCTAAATAATGTCATCTTTTGATCGCATTATCAGACTGAACTTTGTTAGACAACCATTGAAGTCTAGAAGTCAACGGACAGCTTTTTACTTTTCAGTATGAACCTCCTCAATAGTATGCACCCATGACCTTTCCGAGGACCATCAGATTTAATGGAGAGAGCTTAATCTTTAGACCTTTTGAGTTGGGATCCAATCAGTTCACCACTAGTGAAATTAAAATTAAAATGATACATACTAAATTATTAGCAAAGTATACGTTTATGCACTGAGTTCTAAGGTGTAGCTTATGTGTGTATATTAAGTATTTCTTCTAGGCTCTTCAAAGTAAGGGAGGTGAGTGTAATTTGGACCTGTGAGACTCAATGTTTGCGATTCAAGTCAAAGTTTAGTGTAAGGATAAGTTAATTAGAATACAGAAAACTACTTTCAAGTTTTTGTGCGAATTTCAAAAATGAATGGTAATGATGATGATAATCTGTCAGTGCACAAAATACACATTAGAAATATCTTCATAAATGTTCCCCAGATGACCTGGCACGGCCGAGAGTGGGGAAAGTCCGATCTCCCTCTCGAAATGCCGTCACATAGCTACGTGCATACGCCCTTTGCCAGGAAAATCCTACTCACTGCCTTCTCGCGGCATTACTGTTGTTTACAAAATTGAGAGGACGAAAAGCGAATGCCCGGCGCTTTAACCGGGTTGGTGGACACGGATAGCCCACCTAGGGAAGTTGGAAAACCCTGGTTCCAAACCAATGATGCACATAGGCTCCAGTATCCTAAAGAAACAAATGGCGCATGAACCAATCGTCGGTCACCAACTACCATGGGACTGCATCTCCTTACGTTGCTCCATTGCCTTATGGATTAGACCTTCATGTCGAAGGTCCCGGTTCCCCCCCCCTAAGAAAGTCACCTGCTTCGGTTTGGGCACCCGGGCAGTATCCCACCCCCCACATATATCAAATGAGATTTGTGTAGCACATATGTATTTTGGTGCCTCCTTGGCCAATATCTATGTGTTAAAATAAATAAATAAAAGTTCTCAGAACGTTTAGAATCGTAAGGAAAAATTCTTTTTTATCTTCATACTGAAAAAATAACAACGGTCAACATATCAAGTGCCCACTTTCTATTGTAGAGCATTTACATAACACATGAACCGATCATTTTTCTTGGCACAATTTATTTTATTTGTAATAGACTTACAAAAATGATCACTTAAGGTGAAAATACAGGAATACTGAAATTACATAACAACTTCTACGTATGACTTCTTCATAGCAACATGGTGACCATTATTCTCTTATGGTTTAATTTTCGATACTGCAGTGAATTTTTCAATGTTTTTCTTAAGTCATGATGAATTTTATATAAATAAACATGAGAAAGATTCAGAAAAAAAAAAGAATTAGTGTGAATCAATTCACACCCATATTATTGATGTTATGCGGCGGTATTTTTACGAAATGAAATTCAGAAAATTGATAATATGCCTTTTAAAAAAAGGCAATAAACATTTTCAAAACCGCTGAGCTCGTAAAGGTTACAGTCTTTCTGTTGCAAATTACATTTGATTCATAGAGACTATCTGCTAATTAGTGAAAGTTAGCTTTAAAATAACTCAATTTTGTTAAGATTCTTTCAAAATTGTCCCTATATCATACTTTTCCTGAGATTCATGAATGATCCAATCAACAATTCGTCTCCCAGCTGTAATTGGTTTTCTAGACATTCTTCAAAGCATATCACTCTTAATGTATCATGAAATTAAAATATTCCCAAAACATCTATAATTCTTTGACCATTTTCTATGTTCTTTATTTACACATTTGTCTTTATCAAATGATCGTTGTAGCCGTCGCAAATAGGACTACCTGCTCTGCCAACCAATTCACATTTACAACCAATCCCAGTAACTACTACATCTACAACATCAAACAATAATGCTCAATCAATGATGATGGTAACAGGTAATCAGAAATCTAATTTAGGATGGAAATATCCTAAATCAAATCAAATGATTATGACATCAACAAACAGTAACAATTCAATATCATATTTCCCAAATTCGGACAGTAATAATAATAACAATAATAATAATAATAATTCATCAAATATAGACAATGGGCATAATTCTAACGATACAAACGTTGCACACACTACACTTCAATCAAATTCGATTGGATTACATTTACCAAACATATAAAAAAAAGTGTCTTTTCCTCCACACTTAACCTTTCTCAAACACAGATCTAGTGTAAATGTGTTACATATGGTTAGTAGTAGTATTAATATTACTAACTTAATTAGTAACTTCTCTCATAAGTAAAATGATACACAGATTACTAATAATAATAATAATAATAATAATAATAATAATAATAATAATAATAATAATAATAATAATAATAATAATAATAATGGTAAGTAAATTACCTGAGTACATTTAATTATTGACGTTTTCATTTCTCACTTACTATATTATCTTACAATCTGAAAAGTAACCAAATATTATCCTTCCTATTGAAAGAAATTGTATATAAACTTAAATGAATATTAATTACTTATAATTATCACTTTATTAAAACTACTTTCATACGGATTTGTGTTTTGTTTTAATGATTATGATAGATTATCTAGATATGATATACTGGTTATGAGACAAAAATCTACGCACAATTAAAACTATTTGTAATAGAATTAAACAGGATTCTACAAAAAATTGATCTGTTTAGGTAGTTATAGGCAATTGTCAGAGAGAACTCAAGAAAACTATTCCCAGACATCAACACAATACTTGTTGGCAAATCGCCTAGGTTAAAGGGTATATTACAATTCATTGATCAATAGAATATAATTAGTACTAAGGGTTGAACAAACATAATACTATAGGTGTCATTACCAAGGTTTGAAGAAGTGACTTATGCTAAGTCACGAAACGTCAGAAAAATCCAATTTTCTACTCATTGGGATATTACAAATATATTATTTTTATTTAAAACATAATACTAATTGAATTTGAAATGGTTTGGATTATCAAGTTTTTTTATAATTTTTATGGATGTTTGACTAATCCAAACCATTTTAAATTAAATTAAATCTCATACATATTGTACAAGTGATGGACTATCTAGACTTAAAATGATAACGCGATGAGGTTTGAAGCGAACGGTACCCGTTTTTGAGGTTTAGAGTGAACATCAACTCTGAGATGCAGGTTCATATAACTAACGGGTCCCAAATGGGACGAAATGCGTGTTTTGGATTCCATTGTCAACCACATTTCATCTAATGGGTATCAAATATTATGTGAGTCATCGCTCTGTGATTAAATATTATTATACACTGATCTGTCTCTCATTCTTTTATATCCAAGTGTTTAACAAGCCGCATCCTGGATTCCACTTCTAGCTACCATCCATCTTTGCATATAGTGCTTGTAACTTAAGATAATATCGAGATAATCCTGACATGATGCATATGTGGCAATAAGATACTGATTGCAGTTCAAAACATCAATGGGAAAATTCAAATAAACAATACAAAATGAATTTGAACCAGGGATTGTTTGTCATGAAAAATAAAATCGGTAATTTTGGGGCTGACTAATATGAAGTGCTAACTTGAATCAGTTTATAAGTGAAATGAAATTGTGAGATAAATAATGATCAGAATAAATATGGTCAACATGGAGTGTGAGAGAGAGAATGATGTAATTATAAATCGAAAATTACGTAATATGCAGAATAATATGAATTAGGTACCTTCTACTTGAAGTTTGTGCTCATGATGTCGTTCAGAAAAACGATGAAAGTTGTGCCCGAAGTTGGCCAGGATAAAAGGAGCGTCTGAACATATTCTTTTTGGATACAAATCTCTGGCCTTTTGATCCGAATATCAATTACTTCATCTGTCTGCAGGATTCTCACTGTGGCAGACTGCTTATTTATTTGAGCACATAAATATTGGTACAAGAGAGCGCCAATATATATGCGCCACACAAAACAATGAAAATTCGAAGAGAGAAAAGAAAAAAAAAGAAAAAAAAAAGAAAAAAACTAAGGAGCACAAAAGAAAAAGAGAACGATAACAAAGAGATTGGTGAAAGGTAGTGCGGTCGTAACGATGGAACGGAAAGGTACAATCGGAAGAAATCTTTCAAGTAAGGGAGACACAACCACTTTTTATGAAGAAAGTAAAAGAAGGTTACAGCAGGATCGCCACTGGCTTCTATTCTGAGCCATATCTGATAACGTCTCTAGCCACTGTGTAGCACCATCTCTCAGACCCCAACCAGGGAGTCGTGAAGGACCGACAGAAGCCAGTCCTTTGCAACTTTCTTTCATACCACGACACCATGTCATGCACTGACCACCTCTCCGCTTTTTCCAACCAGTCCCAGAGTCGGCAAACAATGCACGACGTGGAATTCTCTGGGACGACATTCGTAGAACATGTCCAAGCCACCGAAGTCGGTGTTTCAAGATGGTGACACCAATTGAATTATCATCTCTGTGCCCAAACACACGATGCCGAACCTCTGCATTACTAACATGGTGTTGCCACTGAATGTCAGCAATCCTTCGGAGACAGCGATGATCGAACACAGAGAGTCGTCTAACGTCCTCAACTCGGAGAGGCCAGGTTTCACAAGCATAGAGCAAAACTGCTCTCACCGACGCGTTGTAGATCCGACCTTTTACAGCCAGACTAACATCACGAAGGCGCCAAAGGTGGCCCAGATTGGCATAAGCCGCTCTGGCTTTCACTATACGTGCATTGATCTCATCACTCACACCCCCACCAGCACTTATGCAGCTACCCAGATACACGAACTTCTCGACTACTTCTATCTGCTCACCATCCAGGGTGAGTACAGGATTGGAATCCTGCCAGTCTTGTAGAAGTACTTTGCACTTCGAAGGTGCAAAACACATACCATACCTACGGACACTGATTGCCAACTGATTAAGTGCGGATTGCATGCCTTGGGCATTATCGCACAGTAAGACAATATCGTCCGCATACTCAAGGTCGAGAAGTCTTTCTCCAGGCAACAGATCCACACCACCATTACTTACATTCATCAGAGCTGTTTCCAGAATGTCATCGATGGCAAAGTTGAAGAGGAATGGTGAGATTGGGCAACCCTGCCTAACCCCACTACTCGTATAGAACAATGGAGAGAGGTGGTTGTATGCCCTCACTCTGCCTGAGGTGTTTTTATATAGGGCTTTTAGGATGTTAATAAACTTCTCAGGCACACCCTTCTTCAATAGACAATCCCAGAGAACAGTCCTGTCCAACGAATCGAAGGCAGCCCTGATGTCAAGAAACACTACGATTGTTGGCCTTTGATAAGTATGGCGATGTTCTAACATTTGGCGGAGGGTGAAGATATGATCAATACAACCTCGACCAGAACGAAACCCAGCCTGCTCCTCGCGAGTCAATCTTTCTCGGGTTTTGAACAACCTACGAAGTATGACGGAAGCCAATAGCTTGGACGCGACCGGAAGTAGACTTATCCCCCGATAGTTGTTGCAGGAACGACGTGAACCCTTTTTAAAGATAGGAACGACTATCGACTCATTCCATGACGTTGGTACACTCTCTAATTCCCAAACCTTTGTAAACAACGTCGTCAATTCCTTAGTCAAAAAGTCACCACCATCTTTAAAAAGAGCCGGAGGTAAATCATCTGGGCCAGGTGATTTGTAACGCTTCAAGAGTTGGAGTTCCTTGCGGACTTCCTCCTCGTTTGGTGGATCAGTCGTCACCGGCCATGGAGGGCAGGACAGTCTGACCGATGTTGCCGGAGCAGCAGGCCAGTTGAACTGCCCTTCGAAAAATTCTGCCCATCGTCCAAGACGTCGATGGATGTTAGTGATTGGCATCCCATCATCCTCGCAGATTGTTTCACTCACACCAGACTTCTTGCTGCCAGTGGCTCGGATGAGCTGGAAGAGCTTCCGGTAGTTACCAGATGCAGCTGCTGCTTCCATCTCATTAGCACGCTCCGACCACCAGGCTTCTCGGTCCTTACGCAAGCTTTGCCCGATTTCCCTACGTAACATCCTTCGTTTATGGTCAAACTCACGGTCACCCGGAGTCGACCGACGGGCTTCAATAAGTTGTAAGGAACCAGAAGAAACCCAGTGCTTATAAGCGGGACGTTTCGCAAACCCACAACTGACTGTTCCCGCCATTTTCATGGCGTCATGCAATTGCAACCAATGCTCATCTATACTTTTCGGTGGAGTGGTAGCTAGCCTAGAAGCTAGCTCGGTTCGATACTTATTTGCAACAGAGGTTGCAACCAGCTTGCTAATATCAATCCTTTGGTGGTGGTCACTTCGTTGTCCACTGAAAAGTAAGGCAAGATTGGCGCAGACCAAGGCATGGTCAGAGTCCAGATAGGTACTCCAAAAGGAGCGGCAGTCTTTTACACAACCACGCCAGCGGAAGCTGATCGCGATGTGATCAATCTGAGTCCAGGCTTGGGATGCAGAGGGAGGACGCCAGGTGGCACATCGGCGATGACTGTGCCGAAAGTTAGTGCTAGCCAGAAACAGGTTGTGGTCTGTGCAAAGTTGCAGTAGACGGTCCCCGTTATCTGACCTGCGACCAACGAGTCCCCATCGGCCACCTAAACGACTCTCTTCTGTGCCTAGACGCCCGACCTGCGCATTCAAGTCTCCGGCTAGTACTACAATATCTGTCGAACGCACTTTCTGGAGAAGAACAGACAGCTGGTGGTAAAACTCATCCTTGATTGCATCCGGGCTGCAATCTGTCGGGGCATAGGCGGAGATGACGAAAAGACATCGTTTCTCACGCCGATTTCTTCTCACTTTGATGGAACTTTCTAATCTAACAGCACATAACCGACTGTTAATGGGGATCCAATCGACTAGTGCTGCCTCAGCTCTAGCGCTTAGTGCGACACCAACGCCAGCAAGACCAGACGAAGATGCCACAGGGTCCCCGGATAAGCGCACGTGAAACAAGCTTTTCGAAGCGACAGATGGAGATCGAATTTGTAGTACTTCGCCAGAGTCTTGAATACGGGTCTCGGATAGACAACAAACATCAATATTGAGACTTTCCAAAGACATAGCCAGCCCTATCTGTTGTCCGACCTGCATTAGTGTGCGAACGTTGAAGGCAGCCAGTTTGAATGGTGCACGTGGTTTCAGAAAAACTGCTTCAGTTCTCGTATTCGGTGGTAACATACAATTTTCAACCAAACAGTGACTCGAGAACGTTTAGATACAGTCGAATTTCCACCAAAGACGAGCCGCTGTATAAGTATAAAGGAGGGTGAATAATGTGGAAAATAATAATAATAATAATAATAATAATAATAATAATAATAACAATAATGACAATAATGGTAATAATAATAATGGTATTAATAGTGACAATAACAGTAACAATTATTTGAATCAATTGAATGTTGATCGGAGAGAGGAAATTAGTTGCCGTAGTCATAGAGTTCATTGTTTGTGTGTGGGCTGTGATACTGCCCGGGTGCCCAAACCGAAGCAGGTGGTTATCTTAGGGGGCCACACCCCGAGCCTTTGACCTAATGGTCTAACCCACAAGGCAGTGGAACATCGTGAGGAGATGCGATCCCATGGTAGCCGGTGACCAACGATTGGTTCATACGCCATTTGTTCCCGCAGGATACTGGTGCCCATGTGCACCATTGGTTTGTGATCCGGTTAAAGCGCCGGACGTTCGCTTTTCGTCCTCTCATTTTCGTAAACAACACCCCCGCCACGAGAAGGCAATGAGTAGGACTTCCCTGGCAGAGGCTGTATACGCGCGGCCGTGTGAGAGTATTTCGAGAGGGAGAGCGGACTCTCCCCACTCTCGGCCGTACCAGGGCGTTCGGGGGCTAATACGACATATTATTGTGAAAGATTGCTCCACGTTGGCTGTGTCTCGTTTGAATTAAATGAGCTAAAATGGTGCTGTTAACAGTTTTAACTACACCTTTGATTAACCACAGTGGGAGGTGCTCACCAGCCCAAAAATACAAATTCATAGGACACTTGCCGATACGAATTGCTCCACAGTAGCAGTCGAATTGATAGATACAGAAAGAAGTGGCTAGTCTAGGTAATTTATCTTTCAACCTCCGAGTGGTCATCGGATGCGTAGAAAGCATTAATTGTCATTTGCCTGCAATAAAATATTCTTTGGATTCATCTGTTCAACTGTTTTACTAGGTTTATTGTCACTGAATTGTAAGCGCATATATACAACGGCTTTTTGTTCACAGGTATTCCTTATGCTCTTTTATTGGTTAAATGTTAATTTATAAATGTCACCAGATATCCAACTTCCAGCTTAACTAGTTAATAGTCATTTTGAGGATATGGTGACGTAATTTGATTGATGTTCATTTTTATATCCTAAACTTATCCACACATCATACCATTGTCATAATTATTATTATTATTACTATTATTGTTAATATTATTATAACACTTGCTAACCATTTTGAGGAATTTATTAAGTATCCACCCCTATCTATTAATTTGTACCCAATTCGTTTTTGATGGAGTTTTGTTCTCTTAGCTGGATGGTTTAGTCGTGGAGCTTTCATCGTTCTTCTGAACGACAGTGTCAGCACAAACCTCAAGTAGAAGATACCTAATTCATATTATTCTACATATTACGTAATTTTCGATTTATAATTACATCATTCTCTCTCTCACACTCCATGTTGACCATATTTATTCTGATCATTATTTATCTCACAATTTCATTTCACTTATAAACTTATTCAAGTTAGCACTTCATATTAGTCAACGCTAACATTAACCATTTGATTTTATGTAACAAACAACAATACTTGGTTCAGATGTTATGATTTTACATGATGTACTTTGCCTTAAATCTGACCAATTTTGTGGATTAATTTGGATATGAGATAATTGTAGAACTTGATGAGAAATTACTGAAAAGCATAGTCTTCGTTCACACAAAGTAATCATTAGTTCGTACAAATGCCACAACCACGTCAGCCTCAATGGGAATCCGAATTTCTGTAATCGGTTGTACTTTTTCTCCTTAGGTTCATCATGTATCTGTCCGACTGTGTATGATGTAGACTCTATATGACCTAAAATGTACTCATTGATAGCAGAATTAACAACCAAAATCGGAACACTCACCTGGTTCCTGGAATTGTATTTGTTCAACATCTCTATCGTGTGTGCTTAAATCATTGATAACTAAAATCCAAACCATAGATTTTTCAACATTCTTCGACACAATCTGTGGTTGGTCAAAGATTATTTCCACAATAAAATATAACTTACGCAAACTCTAAACACCTCATATTTCAACGGAGAATCCTTCCTTTTAGTAGCTTTGATGGGATCTCTTTCGTTGCAGAATGTTTAACATTTCTAGATTGCAGTAATGTGTCTACTCCTCATTCCAATTCATCAAACGTTGAAGCCGCAATGGAAGTTCTTAATGTCCTGACGAAAGTTTCTTCCTGGCCATTATAACAAAAGTGCCTGTTAGTAATGAACAGATGTCTGCATCCTATACCATTCAACCAGATAGTGACTGTCTCTTAAGCAAAATGAGAGCCATTAACACTCAATAACAACATAGAAACCACCTACCAACTGAAAACTTTTCTTAATGCCTGGATTAAGAAGTCAGAATATGGTGAAGTTGTGAAAGAAACTTCAGGCCACTTGAGAGGAGCATTGATAACAAATGCATAGTATTTGTAAAGAAATGGGCTACAATAGTCTGCATAAATTCTCTGCCAGGCCTCAGACGATAACGGCCATAGAATCTATTACGAAGGATGATTTTCCAACTTACGATATTTTCCACAATGATTTCCTGTACGATATATGTCAGTATTTATCTCCGGCCACTAACATGTGAGCCTTGTCAAGGATGTCATTCAGCATCCAATTGTCCACTATGAAGATCTCCAAGGACAGATTTACGTTATAAAAAAGGAATAAATGCACGATCATTCAGACACAAAGTACCATCAGGAATAATGGATAGCTCATCCTGTTTTAGAAGATAAACAAGAAACCTACGTTTCAGATTGGTATTCCAACCTCTTCATATGGCACAGTGTACATTCAAAATTCTGACGAGTTTCTCTAATGAGATCTGGATGTCTCACCGGTAAAGATTTTACTACCAGATAGTCTGCAATATTAACAGCTTTATCTTGTAATGATTGTCGAGGTATGTAGTCAACATGTTGGCTGGTGAGTACAAATACCACTTATAGCTTCAGACATCCCGAAGAGAATTTCTGACCTACTCACCAGAACTTTCCCTGCAGCAACTTCGCAACTAGCGTCCCCCAGTCGACCTATGGTCATTAGTAATCTAAAGGACAAATTGTCATTTGACTAATTTCCTGTGCACTTATCAATTCTTTTGTTCATGTTGGGCCAGGTATACAGGTCGGTCGAAGAGTCTTTTACTCGAAAAAATTCGCGAACACTACCGGGCTTGACTGAGAAGAGGCGGAAATAAGTTAATTAGAAGCTCAATAATCCAATACCTTGTGAACACAGGTCATTCGACCAAAGCGGGCTATGCGTTCAAAGTCACCTACAAGGTGAGTAGGAAACGTCCAAATTTAGTTACCTTCCATCTTTTTAGCATTGCTGCATCATTTCCTAAACATCTAGAGAAAGCAGAATTACATGTATAGAAGAAACTTCACGACCCACTGACCTCTTGAAAAAACTTTCCTCTTTTTTTCTCTCACAGCCATCTGCTTCCCTTTTATCTTCTTCTGAACATAACTTTTACTCCCAACTGATTTGTTTCTCTCTTCATAATTCGATTGATTACAATTCATCTTAATTTCAGCATTTAATCTTACTACGCAGAACCTTTTTCCGATTACAGTTCCTTCATCTATCTTCATGATGAATATTCAATGGGGTATAGCATAGCAAAACTATTTGTTTTCTTTTCGTTCAACTCTATATTAGCCGTACATCATACATGGGCTGACGTAGAATCTTCACAAAAGAGGATCGATTAAACGTAATTGGCAAGGTTTTAAACCCAGTAATAGTTCTTTACGATGATACAAATCAGACTAGTGTAGCTGTAGCTTCCTATGAAACCGAGCATCGCAAACGGACACAATCAGTGACTTCTACTTACTCATAATCCAGTAGAACTAGGTAGTCTATCTTCATTTCGTAGTCTCACTGCTGGGAGGCTGGAGAAGGGCCATTATCTTACTATATTGAGTGCTTGCTGTAAGGGCTTTCATATACATTATACCACTGTTTTGCTGAATTCACCAATTTTGAGCTGTAAAGCTTTGTTCGGTAGTTTATGATTTTATCTGTTTTTATCACAGAGATAGACGTTGTTTAGAACTTTGACGGACGTTTATTATTACTCAATAATAGATCACAGAAAAATTTAGTTCCTCCTTGAAAGTCCCTTCAGAGTAAATAACTTTAGCTCTACGAACTAAGCACTCAATTCAATCTTGCCTATACTGAAGTCAAACAAAGCTTTAAAAATGTGTATATTGGCTTAGTGGTTAGTTTACAACCAATAATTCTCTCCATTGTCGGATCAGGTCCTTGTGTCAACAAGACGTCTAAAAAGAGTATATGAACTCAATTTCTTCTAATTGGGAAATTGATTTTGTAGAGCATCTTGAAGACGGTAATAAACTTCTCATACACAATCAAGAAGTACCTTACCCATGTTCAACTTCAAAAGGATTAGAAGAATGCTATTGTTAATTCAGTTTCTCGATCAGTTACGTTTTATTTCGCAAGTTGAATTCATGACGAGAAAATGTACTATAAAACATAAGCTTAATCCGTAAAACAACTAAGGGTTATTTAAAAAGCGATTGAAAAATAAACAGTAACTAAAAGAAATACAGTTTTTTCCAAAACAAAATTGAAAAAAGAATGATATTAACGACATAGAAATTTAATGAAATAAAACTGTATTCGCTAAACGTAACATCCATACAAGATAAGGCAATGGAATACGATCACAACCTTTAAATCGAATTTGTTTATTATCCATAGTAATGGGCATTAATGGTAGAAGACTGTAATCTGTCTTTAATGCCGTTGTAGCTTTATTGAATAATAATGATTCAGTTTTCTGTGGATCAGCTGTAGTAGTCGTAGTAGTGGTAGGAGTGACCTTGGCAAATTCACAACTTAAATAAGTACAAATAGTAAATGGACTGACGGAGTCTATTAAATGAAATCCTTTAATTCGTTCTACTGGAATAAATGAAGAATATGATCGTCGACCAGTAAAGTAACGATTTGATGTTTGTAAACCATATCCAGATATGAGTAGAAGAGATTCTGTGAAAAACGGAAAAAATACCAATCAGTAGAATAATATGTAGTAGTCTTCTAGCGTCACCTACAATTGGATTTACAAGCTTACATGTACTTACGGTGGCAAGTATATGTGACATTTTTAGAAACCTTTATCTGAACTGCAGTAGGCTCTTCATAAGTGCTGAACGAAGGCGTGGTAAGCCTTTCTGTCATAGTGGCTATAGTTGTCATCAAATAAACTTTTGTCTTTTACGTAATCCCATTAATGCTTACATATCAATTTGATTTCGGTTTCAATTATGTTGATTAATTACGTAATTAAATATGAAATCCATTTGTCTACTATTACTAATAATAGCTGTAGTCATCATCTTCTATACCCTGCGTTACAGTCTCCTCAATATGTAAACACGCATCAATCTTAACTAAGGTTAATCATAGATTTTTAGTTCTGTTAATGTTATGATTTCCGGTCTTTTTTCGAACATCACTAAAGTATGTTTATCATTATATGACTTTCTGTAATTTCAAGTTGATCGCGGCTGATAAGGATTCGTGAGACAAAATCAATTCATTTTATTCTGCAAATTTTGTTTGCGGACTGTATCAACAATAGTAGTTAATCAGTGTAAATAGAGTAGTCTTAAAGGTGGTCAAACTTGATAGCCCGAATAGCTCAGTGGTGTATTATATAGTGTGCCACTAGGTGAAAGGAGTTTAAACTCCACTGGAAGCATAAATTTTTTTTCAAGACTGCAGATATGCCCTGTTGATGAGTCCAAAGTAGCACCAAACCTCGAGTTCATGACTTATAGTCGATTGCTTTGAACTAAGTAACAAAATACACTGTGGTTTAACATTTGTTGAATATATTCCCTGATGGAACAGGTGTAATTTAGAAAAATTACCAGATAAGTTGGAATTTATGGTTGGAACTACTTACCTTCAGTAACGGTATTACGTAAATGCATATAAATGAAAATAACGGCAGAGAAAAACAAGATTAACTGGACAAAGTACGACTGAAAAGAGAGAGAAAAATGTACGAACATGAATGACGTCAACGAAAGAAATTAAAATGAAAACATTTGATGAAAATAAAGCCATTTGCGGAGTGTGTAGAAAATTGAGATGCCGTGGTCGTCTACTGATACATAAACGGAAACTGACAGAGTGAATTAAACGATACTTGTGAATATCGTTTTGATATGACGAGCGAAAATTACGCCTATAAATTAGGAGTTGACTGATTGAATAATGAGTGATGTACAAATTGATTTCCTGTTATCGCCTGTTCATCATATCATCGAAACTCTAATTTATGAAAAACTCACAGTATTATGATCATATTAAAGTAAGTACTAACGCCAACCTTTTAACAAGAATTTCCGAATGTATCACGAAGTAGGAGTTTTGAGTAAAGTGAATACAATTACATTAATTTAGTCCCAAGTGAACAACGGCGAACCTTTTTAAACATAGTCAGTGGCTGCTAATCAGAGTTATAATGGTAGGTACAAAATACCTGGTTAAAACCCGTGCAATACTCGTGACGAATGGTGGAAGACGTTAGGTGAAATGACCCAAAATCGGTTGCATCGTTGATCTCACTCATTCCCTTCCAGTCATCTTCATTGTGCCTGACCTTAGCGTGAAATTATTTTCCATCCTTTAGTTTTTAGTCTTAATGATTTCCTTTCTGAAATGATGGGGAAGACTTGTAACTCAGGTAGACGCTATTGGTGATGTTACGTTTTATAAGCTAGATGGTTTAGTTACGGAGCTTTCACTGTTATTCAAAATAACAACCTCAGTAACTGCTTGATTTAGAAGCGAGTCTTCTAGTTGTCCTATCATCATTCACAGAATAAATTGAACTAGTCTTAATAAATTTTACACTGGAAAAACTGGGTGTTCAATTCACTTACGCATAAATGAACACAGATTATCAATGAGGCAACAAGATATGTCATCATTACTACTGATGCATGTGAACAGTCATAGCTGTAAATTCAAATAGAGAAACGTCGACTACCAGAGAATTTCTGGAAGACTTACTTTTATATGAAGTAGGTGCTGAAAGTATTCAAAATGATAACGAAAGCTCCGTAACTAAACCATCTATCTCAGAAAACACAACACCATCAAACTGTCCTTTACCCCTGTCCAGACGAGGGATGTAGGGTCTTGGAAAGACATATATCTGTGTCAAATGTTATGTTTATAACTCAGATATATATATATATATATATATAAAGTACTTACCCCTGCAATAAAACCGACTGAACAACAAACTAACATCCAAAGTACTGTCATGACAAACCAAAACGATAAGGATATGTTTCGACTGTGTCTAACTTCAATCCATGCAGGGACTGACTCATGTGACGACAGTAATATCGGATCCTGATTTATATTTACAATTACTGGGTAAGAAGTTAGACAATTTATGAGACTACTTTTATCCGGAAATCGGTAAATCAGGTTACAGCCACAAGGAAGACGAAACAACAAAGAAAGGTCATCAATAATCCTTTGGGAGGGGTGAAAGGAATGAAACGCAGGAAACATCTGAAAGACAATTGAGAATAAAACAATGATAATAGTTGCTAGAATTTCTAAATTATACATACACGGAACATCAGAAATTTCACTCGCTTCAAAGTTGACGAAACGATGGTAGGATGGCTAGAAGGGAACAATTTACGATAAAGTCATAATATCTCATATCTTTCAACCTAACCATGAATAAATTTTAAGGAACTGTAACTTCTTACTTACAATTCGATAGGATATGTGAGGACAACACAGATTAGTTACTTATGTTGTGTAACATGTAGTAGATTCAAGGTATTTGACATCAAATTCATCATGAAATTTGAAGTGATATACAGTGGTTAATGCATTTGGCTCTCAGTTACTAGGTCTATGATTCGAACTCCACCCCATCTATCACGGTTTGAGAAAGCGGTTAGAACCACTGGCCTTAGCAATTAGAGTGAGACTCATACCCACGTACCTAATAAATCGATTAGTTACTGCTTTATATCATTACCTATAGCTTAAAATCTGATTTATTTATACAAAAGTTTTATCAGATCTCTCTTTTTACGATGACCCTTAGGTTTAATTATGTTTCGCATGTCAATTTACAAAACATCGTTTAATTTCCCTTATCTAATTGGCATTACCATTATAAAAGATGTCTTAACTTAGAAGTCTTGGTTAGCATTAATACTACTTGCCATTAACCTTTGGACTCCTCGGTTAATGACACTTACGCCTGCTGTTTATTCTTATGTATTTCTAAAATATTATCAACAGCCCTTCTTTTTGTGTAACTACTTACTTAGAACCATGTAATCGATGCCTGGTTACAACCAACTAAATTAATATTTTTTTATAAACAATTTATCTAAAAACTTATAATTCAAGTTAGTTTACTTTTTAAAAAAATTGATAAGTAATAATCTATCATTATTAAATGTTCTTAATTGATTTGCAGTTCACGAGTCTTAGGCATCTGACAATTATCGAGGCTAGTATTTTAGATACTATATTAGTTGAACTAATCCCTCTAGGGTTGTCACAGGATGATTTTAACCCTCTCTTATATATTGGGACGATAAGTGATTGTGACCAGTCAGATGGGATTACGTCCAATCCCTAGATTTTGGCTAAAATATTAATCAGCCTAATCGCTAAAATTGGACCACCATCCTTAAAGACCTCTGGAGCCAATCCATCTGGACCAGCTGCCCTAACTCGTTTCAGATTAGCTATAGCCTTTGAACTTCAACTAGAGTTGGGGGACCTATTGCAACGTTCAATTCACACTGTCTGGAAATGAAGGGTAGTTGCAGAGTAGCTGAAGGTTAGCTGAACTGTTCTACAAAATGTTCCGCCTATCGTTCTAAACGTCTGGACTGGGAGCAGATGAGTGTCGTCTTTTCCCGAAATAGTCTCACTTATACTTAACTTTTTTAATTCCAGTTTCTTTTATTAGTCTGTAAAGCTGTCTTGTGTTCCCTATAGTCAACGCCTTTTCCAACTATTTTGCTTTCGTTACCCACCACTGTTCACGGTCGTTCCTTAGACTTTTGCTTAACCTAGATCTGATTTGTTTACGCTCTTTTTCTTCCCACTAGATCGGGACATAGCAGGCGAGTAGAAAAGCCAAGAACGAACACAATATCCGTGGCACACAGGTTTTCACATCGAGTCATCAATACTTGGAACCTATCACCCGCAGCAGCAGTGTCCGCACCTTCAACTGACTCATTAAAGAGAAGACTGGACACCCACAGAAGCATACTAGAAAAGGGATAACATAAGCCATAGGCCTTCTGTCCTTACTACACAAATCTGAATCTGACATTAAAATTGCTTTATACGAACTAATTATTTCCCCCTGTATTATATACTTATACGCAATCTTTTTATGTATTGCTATCGTCGAAGTAACTACTGTGAATTCAGTGATCATCTTGCTGTGCTGATGAGGTGAGGTAACTTAGACCGAAGCATATATGCCTGGTCCCACGTTGTAGCTGACTGGCTGACGAAACGTTATTGATTTGCAGTTGCTTGGTATTGTTGAAAACGACCGAAATATCAGTCTTAAATACCAAGGATAGTATGCTGGTTAAGGCGTGACAATCTTTGCAGTTTGCTTCTCAATGATCGTCTCTCCTTGAAAGAGTCCATCTATGGAGCCGATACCTGCTCGAGTGAGGCGCTATCAGCGTTGACCTATCGGAAAAAGCAGAGTCTGTCTTTGATTTTGTTCGGTAGCAACCACCAAACTTGTTTTGAATGGTGTCGGAAATGATAAATTCGAGAGGGAGTACAGAAGTAAAAGCATATGAACACTCTCGTGTTCTATGATATTATTTCAGACATTTTTATGCGTTAACCTCTTTAACAGTAAAAATCAAGTGAAAGCTCAGGATATCCCGAGCTTGCATGAGTTACTTACAAACAGCACACACCAGTACCAGTAAAGCTGATTGTAGCCAAGCAACCAACAAGAGAGAAACAAAAACGAAAAAAGGTAACGAAACCGTAAATAAAGGAGAATTGCCGATTTTTCCACCTTACGTTGTGTATTTAGGGAATATTTGTCGACAATTATACGTAACGCATAATGTTTGAATATGCCACATCCCGTAATTATATTTTCATAAACGTCGACAAAAAAAAGCACCGCTTAATAAGGAAACAAAAGTATAGTTATAAACACGATTAACAAAAAACGGACACAGGGATTTGGCTTAAAACGCTTATACGCTGAAATTTTTTGTTTAGCTAGACTGTTGTGACATGCTTGGTGGAAATCACAAATATCTAACGTGTTGCGAGTAAGTGACGTGCTCTCCGTTCTTTATGTTTATTTTAACTAATTACCTTGATAGACCGATACGAGTTCACTTAAAGTCACTGAGAGAGCTCGAAGACGTAGAGAAACTATTAACTTGTCAAGCGTCCTTGGCTGTCATAGATCGACTTATAACACACGGTGAAATAAAATACGAAGCTTTCATGGGAAAACCTAACTTGATTTCTTACTTATTTACTTACGCCTGTTACTCCTCGTGAAGGAGCATAGGCCGCTCACCAGCATTCTTGCTTTCATTAGTCCGAAATTTCGTTTGTTTGACAGAGTCAACTCGCCAATTGCCAAGTACGTTTCAATACTATCTAGATGTTAATGAAGTAGTTAGACACAATTAGATACATCACCGTCAACATTAGAATCTAAGCGCGTAGGCTGTGCTTTAGCAGCCGAGTAAGTCACCTATACGAACAAGTGAAGTTTTTCAGATTTGATAGGTTGCATACAATGATGCAGAACATGTCGTCAGCTATTACTCACTTGAATATAAACATAAAGCTGCTATTGGCGAAGTGAAAATAACCTTGGGTTGAGACATCTTACAGTTTCGCAAGGTCTTTTTCGTTGACATATAACGACAACAAGTGATTGGTTAATGCACCTGAAGTTTAAATACTAGGTATAGTTTACTTCGTATGCAGCCGTAAAACCAGCATTTCTGAAGTGCTCGTTGTGACGAAGTGCCAAGTAGTGTGAAATTACTGGCAACCTCAGGTGCCATAAGGTACGACAAAACATCGCATTTAGGTTTAGGGATCATTATCCATTAACCTCGTTAACATGGCCATCTGTAATACGAACAAATTATAAAATTAACGTGGTTGACTTACAAATCTGTTCCTGGTTTTTTTGCAGCGAACCGGTGTCCAACATCTGCAGTTCCTATTTAGATGACAAAGAGAACTGCTGACTTGATAGTCTGCAATCGAACTGATGCGAATGCTCGCGGACACTGAACTTCACTAGTAGCAGTTTTATATTTATATTCAAGTGAGTAATAGCTGACGACATGTTCTGCATCATTGTATGCAACCTATCAAATCTGAAAAACTTCACTTGTTCGTATAGGTGACTTACTCGGCTGCTAAAGCACAGCCTACGCGCTTAGATTCTAATGTTGACGGTGATGTATCTAATTGTGTCTAACTACTTCATTAACATCTAGATAGTAATGAAACGTACTTGGCAATTGGCAAGGTGACTCTGTTAAACAACCGAAATTTCGGATATTGTACGTGGCTATTTCCAGCCTGCATCTCGGACACATTCATGTCTACTGAATTGTACGAAAATCTTTCTTTATGCTCCAATGCACCTCTACGAAATGTTAATAAGATTATTGTACTGAACTCTTGGGCTTCTCAGTGTTGAGTGACAAGGTGTTTTGATCCGTTGAAGATCCAGTATTTGGAGGGAAACTAACACGTCCTTTACAGAATGCAGACCATCTGGTGTAAATTATAGTTTATGTATTTTACTCACCGAATTCGTGAATGACTTTATATTTTAGAACTGACCAATTGTCAACTGATCGGTCGCAGTTTTGCAGGTGGATATTGACCAGCTCCGGTATTATGTAATTTAGGGTGTGCAAGCAGATAAATGGATGACGCTAAACACTGGAAATTAAAATACAAAGGTTGCGGTAATGTTTTCGCTGAATACCTGAGCCTAAATATAGATGCGACATTCCGAAGCTTTCCATACCGATACGAATTCTAGTGTACGGTATTTACGCTGAAAGTTGGAAGGAGTACTTGCTACGCAACCAGATGTTAAATTATTTATAACGTAATTGCACATGAGTTCATGTTTAGTAGTCTTTTATGTGAGAATTTTATTCAAAGATTAGCTAGCTTTTTTGTGACACCGAGGTACACCATGTGCATAGGATCTAAAGGAAAAGTTAGGATCATATTAATTAAAAGTGTTTCGGGAATCGAATGGCCTTGATGATGAATAGATTGAGTCTGATGACGAAAGCTATCGTCCATTCTCAACGTATATTCAACGTTTGAAAAAGTCATCTTCCCCTCAAGCCATCTCCCAAATACAGTACACCTGTCGCAACCTGCCTTACCGTTGTGAATAAATAGTTACCTAACAGCAAAAGGAGTAGGTGCGTCACATTTTACAGCGGACAATTTGATAGATATGTATTTATTAAACTTAGCACTAAACAGACCCACATTACTCATTTCTTTTGTTTCAGAAATTGTGTCAGCAGAAAATTCGTTGAATTCTGCCGGTTTATTATTTCCTCCGTATATCACTATCATGAACACGTCACTAGTCCTTGGGACAACGATCCGTCCTAATATAGGCCATAATCGTTGATTAGAGCTCCTAAACATAGAAAGTCTAGTGGAATATGCCACTGAATCACCGCCTTGGCTGACGTGTCACACGTTTTCTGGCTGTCCGCATATTCATTGTTTAATTCTACCTTCTAAACTTTGTCTTATGAAATGAACTGACATCATCGTGACATTAAACGTAATATGAGTATTCTTCTCCTGAAGCTTCTCGTAGCTTACATCTTGATTGTAATTTACTCTCAAACGATATCCGAGTTATAAATAAAATGTGTGCAACAAACTGAAAATACTATGCGCCGTAGTAAATTTTGTGCACTAATCAGTATACTGTTGTCTAGTTGAAAGTTATATGAAAAATTTGTTGCAGCCTATGGATAGATTAAGCAACCATAAAAACTCGGAGCTAAGTTCATTTGAATAAGTGAACAATGTGTGTAAAGTGGTACTTACATTATCTTTTGGTTCTCGACAGTATCTTTTTGCTTACATACGTCAATCTCACTAACCATAAGACCGCTAAACATTGAAGACAAAACAGTGTGATAAGAGTGTTTGAAATAATATAGACTTACTCCAAACCATTCTAAATCGATAGTTAACGATGTTGGCTTTGTGCTTTGTCCCATGCAATGTATGCTGAATTTCTAGTTGGGGTGACATAACCACCGGTAATTTGTCCACTTGGATTGTAACAAAAAACAATTGGAACCTACAAAGTGGTAGTAGGATTTACCGTATGCCTCTAGCACATTTAACTCTTCAGATGTGTGGGTTGGATACTGCAAATATACATTTAAATGTTAATACAACTTACTCATGTATGCATACCAGTCCATAGGTAATTTTACCATGTCAACTCCGTCAACAAATGAGGATACCAGTAATGCTTAGGATTGCTCACAGTTGTACTCTGGAGAATTATATAATAATCAGAGAGGTGTTTTGTGGAGAGTGAAGTCATTTAATAATTGAATTTATGAGTCAATTGAAGCTAGAGAGCCATGGAAAACCTGGAAGCACTGAAAGATCGTTCCACCCTAGAATGGGAATCAGCAGTGCGTTTCTACAGATGGTGGTGACTTTCTGGTTAAAGAACTGACTAAGTTGTTTACAAATATCTGACAATTAGAGTGTTCCAATATCGTGGGATGAGTCGATAGTTGTCCCTAACTTTAAAAAGAATTCACGTCTTTCCTGTAACATCTATTGCGGGACAAGTCTACTTCCGATTGCGTCCAAAAAATTAGCTTCCGTCAGACTTGGTAGATTGTTCAAAACCCGAGAAAATATTGACTCGTGATTTGGTTTTCGTTCTCGTCGATGATGTATCGATCATATCCTCACACTCTGCCAAATGTTAGGACGCCATCATACTTATCACCGACCAACAATCCTAGTGTTTCTTGAAATTATGGCTGCCTTCGATTCGTTGGACAGGACTATTCTCTGGGATTGTCTAATGAGGAAGGGTGTGCCTGAGAAGTTTATTAACATATTAAAAGCCCTATATACAAACACCTCAGGCACAGTGAAGGCATACAACCACCTCTCCCTATTATCCCACTCAAGCAGTGGTGTTAGACATGGTTTCCCGAATCTCACAACTCCTCTTCAACTTTTCTGTCGATGGCATTCTGGAAACAGCTCTGATGGATGTAAGTAATGGCGGTGTGAATATGTTGCCTGGAGAAAGACTTCTCGACCTTGAGTATGCGGACGACATTTTCTTACTGTGCGATAATGCCCAAGCCATGTAATCCGCACTTAATCAGTTCGCGATCAGTGTCCGTAGGTACGGTATGTGCTTTGCACCTTCGAAGTGCAAAGTACTTCTAGAAGGCTGGCAGGATTCTAGTCCTTAACTCACCCTGGATAGTGAGCAGATAGAAGTAGTTGATAAGTTCATACATCTGAGTAGCTGCATATGTGCTGGTGGTGGCCTGAGTGATGAGATCAATTCACGTATAGTCAAGGCCATAGTGGATTATGCCAATCTGGGCAATCTTAAGCGCCTGCATGATGTTAGTCTGACCGTAAAAGGTCGGATATACAACGCTCTGATACAACGCGTCGGTTAGAACAGCTTTGCTCTATGATTGTAAAGCCTGGACTCTCTGAGTTGAGGATGTTAGATGACTCTCTATGTTTGACTGTTATGTCCCGACAAGAATAATCATTGGTAATTTTTGAGATCGACTGGATCATGAAGACGTCAACATCTGAAGGGAAGCACGGGATACAATGGACATCTAGGATGAAGTTGGACGATCTGGACTTCGCAGATGATCTGGCCCTTATATCCCAAACGCAACAACAAATGCAGGAGAAGATGAACAGTGTAGCAGCAGCCTCAGCAGCAGTAGGTCTCAATGTACACAAAGGGAAGAGCAAGGTTCTCCGATACAACACAGCATGCATCAATCCAATCACAATTGACAGAGAAGATTTGGAAGATGTAAAAACCTTTACATATGTG